ATGTGTGGGTGACACTCATTCATCCATCATTCATCCGTGTGACTGTACACAGAGCTTCACAATGTCTCAGGGCTGCCTCTATGCTAAGCCAATCTCATCCCAATCAAGTCTTCCCTGGTTCAAGAGTGCAATGGCTTCCAGTATAAGCGCTCTTACTGTTCCGTTTCCACCCTCCCTCCCCTCCCTCTTTCCCCCCACCCTACCCCCCACGCCCCCACCCCCCCGCCCCGTCCCTTCTCTAGACGGCTTGACAACCCTGCCTGTTACTTTACCAGCTACCAAAGTGCCAAATGATAATGATTGATATTCGATAAAGAAACAAAATAAATTAAGGCAACAGGATGAATCAACGCTGCATATTTACAAACATCCCAACTTATTACAGAGCCCCAAATTCACAAATAAGACCCCATTCCCCCCCCCCTCCCTCCCTCCCTTTTTGTAGTTGTCCTTCAGAGAGAAGCAAGTGGTTATAACCACACGCACACACACACACACACAACCTGAATTCGGTTTCCCAACACTTTCAGACGCACAAAAGTTCCATTTCCCGACGGCCAAACTTGCGAACTCAACACAAGAGAACGCGCGATTCATAGGCATAGATTCAAACCTCGGGCTGATAAAGGTCGACAAAAGTGTACGCTGGGGATGGGAAAAGGTGATCGTGAAGATGTCAATCTCTATGTATATAATGGAACGTTTTATTTTACACGTTAAAACCCTATCCTTTTTATTTATTTACTTATGGTTTTTTTTTTTTTTTACAAGAGTATGTTACAAAGAGCATCGGTTTTTCAGTACAATACTCGCCCTTCAAAGACACGCTGAAGATTCCAACCCGACCCGGTTCAGCATTGAACCCCAATGCGGTATAAACATTCTTATCATCAGACCAGCTACAATTCACTGGTTTAAAATAATAATAATAATAATAATAATAATATGTCAGGGGTTTGGGCGAGCGTGCGGAGAGCGAGAGAAAGAGGGAGAGCAAGAGAGAGAAAGAGGGATGGGGGGGCGAACTGGGCAAGTAATAAAAAAACACACAACCCTCACCAGACAAGACAAATCCTATGTATGGTCGGAAAAATAACATGGTTTTTGGCTCACGCCGCAAGGATGAGGGGAAATGCTTTGCTCACCCACCCGTAGCTCAGGCTGTCTGCTCTCTCCTCCCCTCGTGATCACACCCCAGCCACCTGTTAAGTCATAGAGTCTTATGACACACAGTGGGATAAGCGTTGGATAATGAGACACAAGCGAAATGTCACAGACACACACACACACACACACACCCACGTACACGATACCAGTCTGTATCTCCCCACGACACACCCCGGCGCGCTTTGCAAACTAACTTTTTATTTTAAAGAGAGAGATCGAGAGAGAGAGAGAGAGAGAGAAAGAGAGGCGTCTTAAAAAGACCTTCCTTCTGAATGCGGGATGCAGATTCCGGGATTAAAACACTGCGTAAACTCTCCACCGGGCCATTCAAACTGGTCATTTCCTGCAGCCACAGACTTTCATACTTGCAGTCGTTAAGTTTATTTAAAAGGTTTTAGAACTCTTTCTCCCCCCCCCCCCCCCCCCGCCCCCCACTTTTTTAAAATTTCGGGTCACGGCGATTTGAAAACATCTGATTAACATGCGGATTTAATAGTCAGGCAAATATCTTCCGATCTCTCTCTTTCCTCTCTCTCTCTCTCTCTCTCTAAAAATAATAATTAATTCTTGCATTTGATATAGCGCCTTATCACATCATTATCACATCTCTCTCTTCCTCACCCCCCGACCCACCCACCCACACAATCACTGTCACCGGCTACAAGCATTTTGCAGTGACCTGACTTATCCTTGGCGTTTCCTACAAGACAGTCACTACACTTCGCAGTACAGTACATCCTGTGAAGCACTTGGAGGCCTTACGACCGATTGATAAAGACGCTATACTGAATGCGAGATTATGTTTTTTTTATTTTTTATTATTATTATTATTATCATCACCGACGTGAAAAAAAAAACTACCATCACACAGTCATTGACAGTCCAAAGCAATTACAAAATTTAGTGTTATTATACGTGCACTTCAACTCGGCGCACAACGGGTTAAAAAAAACGAGCATGGGGGGGGGGGGGGGGTCTATCTGACCACCAGGGAAAGAAGGGGTTAAAAGCTCTGCGAAGGGGGGGGGAAAAAAAGAGAGATCGCACGTCCGTAACATTAAATCTAAGCCCAGGGATTGTTCTGACAAGACCGGGGGAAACAAAACACAGTCACTTCACGTCACTGCTTTAGATGTCGGCCGAGGGCGAAAGGCGAGGATTATTAGATGACCAGTTACTGACAGACGCTGCGGTTTGCCTTTCGTCTGCATCTCTCCCCAGTCGGCTGCTCACTGTCAAGTGCTGAGCCTGGTTTCTGACTATAAACTAAATGTCACTCTTCTCCCCCCCCAACCCCCCCCGACACACACACACACACACACGCACCCACTATCGCCCCCCAATTTGTTCTGCTGTTAATCATGTTGCACCCGGTGAGTGGAAGTAACCTCACTCACTCTCACATGCGCACACGCACGCACACACGCGCGCACAACAAGATGAGCGACCCCCCGACTTGACTCCGATCACAGGACTGCTTCGTGCCGTTAGTGGGTTGTTGTGTACGCGCGGGCAGACACGCGCGCACACGCACAGAGATATAAACACAGACACAGGCACACCCCACACAGACAAAGAGCACAGCACAGACACACAGGTACATTGCATCACACGCGCACACACACGCGCGCGCGCCCGCCCGCAAAACGCACAGGCACACACCCCATGCAGACAAGCAAAAAAAAAAAATGCTATGCATTGTACAACCTCAACACTGGCAGAGCACTGCGTGCAGAGCAGCCCTGACTGATCCCACAACGAAGCAGGGAGTTACGTCATTAGGTTTAAACACTCTACACAAAACCAAACAGACGGCAGACGCCCGCCCGCCCGCCCGCCCACCCAGCCTCGCCGCGGTCTGACAAGGGTCCCGGGTGCTTGTAATTAGTTTCGGGGCAATGGTTGGCAGTTGCGGAAGAGAAATGGTGGAAGGTTTGTGTGGTGTCTCCCACCCACCCACCCCCGTGTCCATCCCTGTGGGACACAGAGCTATTGCCGTCCATGTTAGGCACTGCGAGTCCGAGCTGCCTGATGACATTCACTAAGTGCATCATCTGCTGTTACTAAAGTGGATCAGGTCTTGGCTGGTCAACTGAGTCAAGTGATTCGGAGTGTATTGAAGACAGAGGAACGAGTGAGTGAGTGTGTGTGTGTGTGTGTGTGTGTATGTGGTGTGTGTGTGTGTGTTGGGTGTGTATGTTGTATGGTGTGTGTGTGGTGTGTATGTGGTGTGTGGGTTTGTCGGTGTGTGTGTGTGCGTGTAGGGGGCGTGATTCGGAGTGTATTGAAGACAGAGGAGCGAGTGTGTGTGTGTGCGTGTGGTGTGTGTTGTTACGTGTGTAAGCACAGGTTTGGGCGGGATAAGTGCTAAAGTAAAAGATCATCGAACGCGGCTCGCTCCAACATGGATCAGCTCATTCATCCGAGTTGCGGTGAGGTTTAACAAGCGGAGCTCGAGAGAGAGAGAGAGAGAGAGAGAGAGAGAGAGAGAGAGAGAGAGAGAGGACAGTTTTTGCAACCAGGTCCGCCAAAAGTGCTGCGCCGCACGGACAGCCCCAGTTAACACAGCCCTGAGCTCGCGGGAAGCTTAACCGTGGGGACACGAGCTCGTGGATAACAACGGCGTCAGCACCGCTGGGGGAGGCCGAGAGGTTTTAATTCCAACGCGGAATTCCCACGCCGGAACGCAAACGGTAAAAAATAAAAAAAAAAGTTACTTAAATAGACGATAATTTACAACGGGGGGAATATCATTCGAGCGAAACAAAGTGCCTGCTTCTCGTTTTGAAAGATAACAACAACAACAACAACAACAATAATAATAATAAGATCATATTTAAAGTTTTCCTTTTTTCTCATTTTTTTTTTAAAAAAGAGGGCGCGCTTCCTTCTGTTCACTCGCTGCTTTTACGATAAGTGTATAAAAATAATAAATCACGCTTCCTGTCAAAGTTGCAGCCCTAATGGTTAGGATCGAGACAAAAGAGAATAAAAACTTTAAAAGGACAAAACACAAGTGTGAAGTAAATACCCCATCATGTGTATGTATATAGATATATATATAAATTGTATGCGTATATATATATATATATACATACACACACACATTATTAACCAGGGCAAAATAATAACACATGCTCAGGGAAGTTCCACACAGTGAAGGGTGAGAGTTCTTTATAAGCGCTGTAGAGCCCACGAGTGTAGGAACTCTCATCTCCTGGTAGTCCCTCGCTTTACATGATTAAACCAAGACCGCGCCTACGATTAACCTACATCGGAGGGGGGGGTGTGTGCGTTATAAGGTCCCCTTCACACCCACCCACACGCACACCCACCCACCCACCCGCACGCACGCGCACACACACACTATATCGTCCTCCGCCTCACCGGAGGGCGCGACTCCCGCTTGTTTCGCTCACCGCCCGGTGGCCCGATCTCGGCGGTTGGCCTGGCTCTCGCTCCCAGCTCCTCACGGGTCGAAAGAAAAGTGCTGTATATAGTCAGTCTGTTTCCCACCTCTCCCCCCCCCACCCCACTTGCGAGGAGAGGTGGTCCGCATATCCCACACTCTGGGCTGCGCGTAGTTCCCACTTTGAGCAGGAGGGGGCACTGCGTCTCTTCGCTCTCTCTTCATCCGCACCCCCTTTGCCCAAATCTGCTCTGTGGTTTCAGTGGACGCAGTAGATAAGTCTCTCTCTTTCTCACACACCCCTCCCCTCCTTCGCTACGGCCGCCCCTCCCCTCGTCCCCAAGACAACAATAATCGGGCACAATATACCACGATACACCAACATCAAAGTGGGGTGTAAAGAGTGCGGGGGGGGGGGGGGGGGAAGACACAAAATTAAACACAGGCGTAACAAGGTAAAGGGGAGGGTTTACCTCTCAAAAAGTACCAGGTTTGTCACCAAGCGAGTCCAAAGCGTGGACTCGAACAATCTTTTGGTCGTCGTGTTTACTTACTAACTCCCGAGTTTCCGAGCTCTCTCTCCCCCACTCCTTTCGCAACGAAAACATGTGGTTTTTTTTGTACAAGACCCAGAGCCCGTTAAAGACCCGGGTCGGAGAGTTACACACGGCCCTTTTGGCCTCTTCTGTCCGCTCCGCTCCAGTCCAGTCCAGTGCGGACGCCTTTTATTTTACTCCAGGGCTTCCTCGCTGGTGTCCTCAGTGGCGGAGTGGTTTGGGAGACTGACGGACGAGGCCCTGTCAAACTCCGCATGGAAGCCAGGCTCGTGGTCGGAGCAGCAGAGCCGACCGTCCAGCCCGCAGGCCGTGAAGGATCCCTTCTGGTGCTCCCTGCAGTAGGAATTGGGGCAGAAATCGCAGAAGGTGGTGGCTGGGTTCCCACACTCGTCACAGTGATGCCACGGACACTCCCATTTGCCTGAGGGACGAGAGGCAAGAGCAGAGAGGGTGAGGATTATGCGGGGAGCGAGGGGAGAAATAATAATCCTTTGCATTCGATATAAACCACAATAACTTGCGCCCTTCGCGTGGGGTAGCGTCCAGAAGTGAAGCTCGACATTGACGGGAGTCTGACCCCGAGCTGGTGGGGGGAAGGGAGGAGGGAGGTGACCGTAAACACCATCAAAAAGGAGGGTCTTTAGGTGAGATTTGAAAGCGGGGAGGAAGGGGGTGAGGCGGAGGCAGAGAGCGACAAGAAGGCCACGGATGGTGGAGCAGAGGGGGCGAGGGACAAACAGGAGGCCGGAGCCAGCCAGGTTGGGGGTGGGGGGAGCAAATCGGAGAGTTAGGGGAGTGCGGCGCCGTGAAGGGATTTTGTAAGAGAGGGTCTTGAAATCATTACTTGGGACTGTGACAAATGGAGGCGCCAACTGCAGAGCTCACTCACCGAAGGGCGGTTTGGTCAGGTTAAGGCAGGAGAGGTGGTAAGCTTTGGGGCAGTCCTTCTTGTCGCACATGACTAGTTCTCCCCCGTCCCCGCACCGGTAGCAGTAATCCTCGTGCATCTTCCGCACGTCCATCTTCGTCTTGCGCCTCTTCATCTTCTTCTTCGCGTTCTTCGCCTTCTCTTCGTTGGCTGTGGCGGCTGCGGTCTACGGAAAGGGGGGGGGGGGGGGCAAGAAGACAACCGGGGACAGTCAGCCACGACAGCTTGTGTTTACACCGCACACACCCCCTCCCTCCCCCCGCGCAGGGTAGCGTCCCGGAGCGCTCGACAGTGTTGGAGCCGGACGCCCAGTCTGGGGAGGGTGGGGGGAGAGGGGGAGGACGTGCCGAGAGTTTTAAAGGTTTGCATTCCCGTCGGGAATTTCGTGCGGAGAGACTTGAACTTGGCCGCTGTGCGCGACAGCGCCGCCGTGTGGCAGGACCGGCCATTGCTCCACTCGCTCACAACAACAACGACAATAATAATAATAATAATCCTCGCATTTGATGCAGCGCTTTTCGAGTCTTTTCGACGCCCCGAAGCGCTTCGCAGAATAGACCGCGAAGTGGACTGACCGTGTATTCGTGGGCGAAACGCGGCGGCCGATTGCGCACAGCGGCCGGCGCCCCCCCCCAAACAGCCGTGGATTGAAAATGACCAATTTATTATTGTTTTGTTTTTTGGAGGGATTATTGTGAGGGGTGTGGGGTAAGGAAACTTGCCCGAGGTTACGCCCTTGTGTAAGGAAGTGAGCAAAGAGGGCGGGGCAGGGTCACAAGTGTGGAGGGAGGGGTGGGGGAAGCGAGAGGTGTGGATGGGGCGGTGGTAGAGGGGTTAGAGGCGCCAGAGTGGATCCCCTCTATACTGACAATACTACTAATAATAATCCTCGCATCTGACACAGCGCCTCACCACGTCTTCCGAGACGCCTCGAAGCGCTTCACAGGGATACACCGCCCAGTGAATCGACTGCGTATTCTTGGGGTGAAACGCGGCAGCCAATTGCGCACAAACCAGTCGTGGATTGAGTTGAGTGACCAAATGTATTTGTTTCCCGAAGGGATTGTCACCGCCAACGATCGACTAATTACCGCCAACGATCGACTAACATCCCAGTTCCTACTTAACTGCTGGGTAAACAGGGGCATGTCGGTGTGTGGGGGTGGGTGTGAGTGTGTAAGGAAACTTGCCTAAGGTTTCCCCCCTGCCCGGGAATCCAATCCAGGTCCTCTCGCTTGCGAGGCGAGCACTCTAAAACTACAGGACTCCACGTCTCAACGTCTCAAGGAAGGAACTTGACAATGATGTTGGCTGGCAAAGCTTTACCCACTCCCACCCCTCAGGCCGGGAAGCCCACTCACCTTTGGACGCACCCCCAGGTAACCACTGCAGTTCGGAGCTCCACATTTACAGATGGTCTTGCCGTTGCCCAAACAGTCCAAATTATAGTTGAAAGTTAGTTCGGACCCTGAGAGGAACAGAGCAGAGCTTAACCGCGGCGTACAGCATCAGAAATAATCCTTACATTTGGCGCAGGGCCTCTCAGTGTGGCCATGTGTACTTGTAGGTGAACCCGGCAGACATTTTGCATCGACCCACAAATAGCCATGAAACAATTGACCGATTATATCGGGGGGAAAGGGGGGTAGGGGGAGGGATTGTCGGCCAGGACACCCACCGGGAGAAAGTCCCTTCTCTTTTCGAACCACACCTCAGGAGATCTTTAACATCCTCCTGAACAGGCAGACGGGGAGCGAGGTTTAACACTGCACCCGAAGGACGGTGCCTCTTGACAATGCAGTGCTTCTCGCCAACCGATCGGCTACAGGACTCCACGGACCCCGATCCTCACCTGCCCGCACATCGCACAGAGCGAAGAGCCCAACTCGTGTATCCCCGCTGACCGTCCACTTCTGGGTCTCGCAGTTTGGGTTGCAGCTGTGGTTCATGAAACGCGAGTAATTTCCTTTCGGCCCCGCATCGATGACCCGATCCTGAACGTGCAAAACAAAAGACTCTGATTTCCCTGCACTTTTGCCTTTTCCTCAGCCCCCACCCCTCCAGCCCAGCGCTTCCCGTGGAAGGAACGGCAGCTTGCGAAAGAAACTGACAATAACCCTTGCATTTGGTGCAGCGTCTTATATCACCGTGACGTCTTCAAGCTTCGCAAGATTTGTTTACTGCAAAGCGAAACGATTATGTACGTTGTGGTCGGACGCGGTAGGCGATTTGCGCACAGCAAAGTCACGCAAACAGGCCCCAAAGTGAGTGGCCAATTTTACATGGGTTTTGCTGCCCCCTTAGGCTCGCAGGGTCAACAGACAGGAGCCGACTGACTCCCTGACCCCCAGTGACTGATCTGCCCTTCCAGGTCCTGCCGATGGCTGTGCTGTCATCAGTGGTGAGCGCCCTGGAATACTGCGGCCCCTCCTGGCTCAGGAACAGGGGACTAGAGACCGTCACAGAGGCCGGGCTCGATTCCCACCTTCCATTGCCAAACACATCACCTTGGAACCAGTTCCGCTCTGAGGAGCCCCTGCTTAATTTTATCTGGGAGGTTCGGAGGGGGCACGGGGGTGGGGGGAGAGATTGAAGACAAATTTGCACTGACAAGGGCCCACAAGCAGCCACGAGGCCAATGGGCGACAGAATGCTTGGAGGGTCAGTGACGGAGCGCGAGCGAGAGAGCGAGCGTTACCTTGGTTAAGGTTAACATGTAGAAGTTTGTGACGTTGTTTTCGTGAGCGTGTTTGATGCGTTTTCTGCATTCCTCTTCATCAACAAGCTCACCCACATACTCGTTCACGAACTGTCCCTGCCGGTAACAACACAAGGGGACTTTACAATAACAGTGATAACGATGATAACCCCTGCATTTGATGTACAGTAAAACCTCACACAACTCTTATCGGTTGGGGCCATACATCCAATATGACTTCTGCAAAGTAGGAGGAACGTCAAACTTGCATAGAATTCATATAAACTCTTGAACTTGGGGACTTGGGCAGATAATAATTAATAATAATAATCTTCTTCGCACTTGACACAGCGCCTCATCACGTCTTCGAGACGCCTGAAAGCGCTTCACAGGATATACTGTGAGGTGAATCGACTGTATGTTTTATGGGCGAATTGCGCACGGCAGCGTCCCCACAAACAGCTGTGGACTGAGTGACGAAATTGTTATTTTATTTTAAGAGATGACCAAACCCTGAAAAAGCGATCTGCCAGTCGACTGATAACCGGGTTCCTACTGACTGCCAAGTAAACAGAGGCGTGGGTGGGTGGAGTAAGGAAACTTTGCCTAAGCTTCTGCCCTGCCTTGGGTCCTCTCGCTTGCGAGGCGGGGGCGCTCTAATCAGTAAAGGACTCCACGTAGAAGATAGCGATTCGGGGAGCATGGGCCAATCCCCAGCCCATTTCCCTTTCCCACCACCCCGGCTCAATGCGCCAACCAAAGTGGGTGGGGGGGGGGAAGTGGGGGTTTGGTGGAACCCACGAAGGTTTAAAGAGCTACCTTTTTAATGTCCACTTTAGTCCGCAGCCCCCACCCTCTGCCCTCGGTCTTGACCAGCTCGGTGTCGGGATACAGCCTCTTGGAGAAGCTCTGGTTCTGGCAGTGCTCCCCAGCCGGGCACACGTCTGCGTGACACTCGTACATCAGGATCCTGTTCAGGCACTCGGACTCCAGCCCGCAGGGGCTCTCGTCGGTCGGCTTGCAGTTGCAGCGGGGGATTTCCGAGAGGTCGGCCGTGTAGATCTGCACCTTTCCGATCGGTTTGTTGGTCTGAGCCGGAAAGAAAACGATCGACGGTGACAGGTTTCTGCTTACCGAGTGCAAACCGCTTACTTGCTATCACCAAGATACACAAACATTAACGGTCATAACAATCCCCAATGTTAGACTCGTCGCCGTGTTTTATTGACCTGGATCAGATGAAGAGAGAGCTGAGCGGATCCAATGGGATTCAAACCCATTGGAACCTTTGGTCCCATAGCAACTCAACCACCCAGTCTGTGTACAGTCTAAAGTGCTCCCTCCCTCTCCCCCGCTTAAAGTTTTGGTAAGTCATCTGCGCTTCTATGGTACCGTAACCCTGGAACACAGTCAGTATTTGTACAATACAAACAACAGAATAAACCAAAGATGCAACATCAACGCGTTGAACCCTAATTCTCGAGGACAACTGTAAAAATCTCGACTAATAATAATAATAATCCTTGTGTTTGAAGTAGCGCCTCATCACGTCTCAAAGGCGCTTCACGGAACTGGCTGTAAAGTGGATTGACTGTGTATTTTGTGGGCGAAACGTAGCAGCCAATTGCGCACAGCAGCGTCCTGGATTGAGTGACCGCATTTTTTTTTAAGGATTATTACACCCAGAAAGCGTTACGCCAATTTAATCAGCATTTGCTCACGCGGCTGAGCAGAGAGGGAGAGAGGATAAGCAATTATGATCAGCACCTTCACCGTGTACTCATGAACTTACTTTAACAAATCTGTAGGCCGGAGGCTTCCGTTCATTACGTTCGTTCTCCAGAGCTTCCTTGCTCTCTCTCAGAGCCTTTAGCTCCCGGAATCGCTTGGTGGTCTCCTCGAGTGCTGAGAAGGGAACAGAGGGAACAATTGACTTGGGATCAGGCAGTGTCTTTCCTACGGGAGGACGTCCCACATAGTCACAGAGACAGAGACACACACATACACACACGGGGGAGGGAGAAAGTCGGAGAGCCAGAGAGAGAGAGAGACAGAAAGTACAATTGTCAGGCAGAGAAAGAGAGAGACGGAGAGAGACAAGGAGAGAGTGGGACAGTCAGTCAGAGAGAGACACAGAGAGAGAAAGACATACACACACACACCCACACACACAGACAAGGGGTGGGAGAGAGACAGAAAGAGAGCAGAAGGACAGAGAGAGAGAGAGAGAGAGAGACACAGAGAGAGAGAGAGAGAGAGAGACGCACTCAGAAAGAAAGAGAGCCACCTCTTCTCTCTCTCTCTCTCTAGCCGTCCAGCAAACACTGCAGAGGGATGAGGATTCCCGATGTATTTCCGAAGACTCACCCTTTTTGAAGGTCTCGTTAATGCTCCCGGTCCTGCCGTCGGACACGTTGCCCTTGTCTCCTTCCAGGTAAGGAAAGACTCGGCCCTGATGAACCCAGTAATAATCGTTGGATCCGAAGAAACGTACGGGAAACTCGCCGATGTGATGCTTCATCGCTTGTATGTTCAGCGGCACAGATTTGGGGTTGCAGATCTCAGCCGGCCACCACCTGAAATAACAGAGGAACAAGTGACGGTTACAACCACGCCCAAGCCGATTCGGTAACAGCTTTCAAGAGAGGACAAGTGGGGAGGACAGATTTTTCAGGGCTTTGGGGAGAGGGAGAGCGCGAGGGTTGAGTGGGATTGATTGGGACAGCTCTTTCAAAAAGCCGGCACAGACGCAATGGGCCGAATGGCCTCCTCCTGTGATGTAAAACTCTACTGATTCCATTCTGTGATTTGGCCCCATCAGACAGTTTACCTGTAGATGCCCAGCTTGACCCAGACGATTTCCTTGTAGCGTGGTTTCTTGCCAGCCTTACAGTCGTTGCAATACCAGCTGCCTTCCGGCATCTCAATGTTAAGACACTCGGGATGGAAGGATGCCGGGCAGGACTCACAGCATAAGAGATGTCCACCTGACACACAAGGAAACAGGTTTAGTCAAGGTGCCCATCCAATGAACACCATCAAACACGCTCCAGTCTATCGGGTGCTACAGTACCTCAGTCACAGTAAACCGTGGCCACACATCCACACACACACAGACACAAGGGAGGTGTCGCTAGTCACAGCCAGCAGGCAATTAAGCTTGCTCATCTCCAAGTGAACACACACACACGCGGGCACATAAACACACACACACACACACACACACACAGAGTCAGGAGTGAAATCTGAGAGCATCTTTTGCAACAAAGGCTAATGGAAATCTGGAACTCTCTCTCTCTCCCCTCAAAAGGCTGTGGATTATGGCTGAACCCATTCGGATTTTCCAAGACTGAGGTGGAGAGATGTTTAGGTCAGGGTATCAAGGGATATGGGGCAAAGACAGCTAATTAGAGTTGAGGTGCAGATCAGCCATGATCTAATAAAATGGCGGAACAGGCTTGAGGGGCTGAATGGCCTCCTCTGGTTCCTGTGCTCCTTTGTCCGAGGCGCAAATTTCCTTGGTTCCATTTGATCCCATTTGTACCAATTGCTCCCACAGCAACCTTGGAATTGAAAGCCATTGAAGGGATCCGGGCAAGGACGCTTCCCCACTCTTCACACACGAACGCTCCCACCCCACCCCCGACACACACCCCTCCCCCTCCCTCCCTCCCTCCCTCCCAACTCACACACAGGGAGCAAGCGAGCGAGCGGAGGAGAGAACAGGGGATGATGGAAGAGGCAGACAATGGAATAACGATGCGTTTACAAAACACCGCAAGTCGCTTGACACAGAACATGCTTAGCAATTGTAGCTGGCAACATCCATTCTGGGGGAGAGAAAGAGGGGGCGACGAAAAACACACCCCATTATTTTTAGCGTGTCCAATTTTTCCCCCAAATACTCTCCCCTCTTCTCTGGCCCCCTTCTGGCCGGGTGGTTGCCACTTGGACCAGTTGCCAAGGGCACTGGTTGCCCTCTAGGAAAGCCCACTCCCAGTTGGCCATTGGCCATGTGTCAGCCTTGGCAATGAGTGCCGCCCACCCTCTCCCCAGCCGGCTGTCACACACAATCATTATTTTCACGCAAAGGGTCGTGGAAATCTGGAACACCCCCTGCCCCAAAACTGCGGATTATGGCTGGATCCATTCATATTTTCAAGACGTTTTGAGGTGGATAGATGTTTGTTAGTTCAGGGTAACAAGGGATATGGGGCAAAGGTGGGTAATTGGAGTTGAGGTGCAGATCAACCATGATCTAACAGAATGGCGGAGGAACAAGCTCGAGGGGCTGAATGGCCTCCTCCTGTTCCTACTTTCTACGTTGGGGTAACGAGGCCAGCCTTAGGAGGGACCTGATTTTACACACCCTAAAAAGTTAACGTCTCAAGTCTCATCGGCCACGACCTACACATCAGCAGCAACGCAGTCCGCTTTCCTAACACACAACAGCACAAGTGCAGCATTTACGCGTCAGACAAGATGGGCAGCAGGAGGGAAACAGATTAAGATGCCAAGCAGGTGTGTTGCCATGCTTACCTTCATCAACAGTAGCACATTAGAAGCATCCTGCCCATGCCAACAAAACAAGGCGGGGGCTTAAAATAACTGCAAGTCTCCCCACCCTCTCACCTCACCTCCCTACACTCTCCCCAAACCCCACAAGTCAAATTTTCAAGATTAAGGTGGATAAATGTTTGTTAGGTCAGGGTATCAAGGGACCTGGGGCAAAGGCAGGTAATTGGAGTTGAGGTGCAGATCAGCCATGATCTAACAGAATGGCGAAACAGGCTAGAAGGGCTGAATGGCCTCCTCCTGTTCCTATGTTCCCAGTAAGACACTTCGAGGAGAAATGGGTTCAAGGCCCATTGATATATTGAACACTAATCTTTGCATTTGATATAGCCCCCTTATCGTATCTTCAAGATGTTTCAAAGTGCTTCACAGGATACAGTGTAAAGCGAATTGACGCCTTTATTTTGTGGACGATGATGTTACCACGGTTAACACTGGAAACCAAACTCAAAATGGATCTAAAATACCCCAAAACAAGTGAGCAGGGAATGCTCTTGTAGTTATCTCAAGCCCCGTCCTAGACCATTGATTTCTTTCATTCCTGCACAAGCTGTGTGGGTTTTTTAAAAATATTTATTTGATTTAAAATTTGTAGATGTGCATAAGATTTAAAAAAAACGTGTTGTAAAAAGACAAAAGAAAAACTGAAATCAAATTACGGCTTTGTAAGCAAGAGGGTTTTAATCAAAGCAGCAGATTTAACAGACGGGTGGGTGGGTGAGGTGGCGGAGGGGTTGGGTGGGTGGGTGGGTGGGTTTGCGGAGGAAGGGGGGTGGTAATAAGCAATGGGGGTGGGGGTTGTGTGAAGGCGGGGTGGGGGGGGGGGTTGAAAAATACAAGCACAGATGGTTCTAGAGATCAAAGCTGGTTAATTACCTTTCCCACATTTCTTTACTGTGGCTGATGGTGAGGGAGGAATCATGGCTAATTTCAGCAACTCAGCAGAACGATTTGACTCGCTCAATAGGTAGTGCGACTTATATGCATAAGAACTGAAAAGGGATTCGGATTGATGTTGCTCAATTACCCCTAAACAAAGTAAATAAACAAAGGATGAGTTGCAGTGAAAATATCCATGATTCGCCCCCCCACCGAAAAAGATCTGTGAAGACATCGTTAAACTTTTTAAGAGGGATATTGTTTTTTCTTTTATTTCTTTTTAAAATCTCGCTTGTTTTTTTAATATATATATAGATAGATAGATAGATAGATAGATAGATAGATAGATAGAGATATAGATAAGAGATATAAAATAAAACGGGTTACGGAAAGCTTGTCAGAAGTTTAAACGTGCTGGAATATTTTACGTGGCGGGGGTGGTGGTGGTGGGGGGGGGGGGCAGGGGGGAAACTCATAAAACTGGGAGACATGAACAGGAAAAGAGCAGGAAGACCTACCTCTGGCACAGATAAAGCACCAGCTTACGTTTACGTGGGAAAGGGCAGCTCGATTTCCCTTCTTGGCGCTGGAGTGGTTGTTACAGATGATGCTGTGGTTGGAGAGGACGAGGCTCCCGGCTGCAATGCAGCCCTCGCCTGTATGGTAAGCTGTGGGGCACCGCAGGCATCGCAGCATTCGGCCTGTTTCAACAAGGAGATACGGCGTTAGGCCACGCGTTAGTCATGTGCGGGCGCAGTCCCCTGCAGCTCAGCGGTCAAAGCCCTCGCCTGGCAAGCGAGAGTGACCCAGGTTTTTTTTTCCCCCAACATGGAGCTGGATAAATCCCTTCGGGCCTTGGCACTTCCCTGCCTTTCTGACCTGCGCGCTCCCCAATCCACGAGCCCCCCTGCTGACCTCCGCTCGGCTGGCTCCGTGCCCTCTGCTCTGCCATCTGCGGCCGCCCTTTCAGCCACTGCGCCCCGAGGCTTTGGAACTCTCCCCATCCCAATCCTTCCGCCTCGCCCCCTCCGTCCCCTCTTTTTCATCACGATTGAAGACCTTCCACCGTGCTTACGGTCACCTCCTCCTTCCCCTCTCGGCTCGGCCTCAGCCGCTGTTAAGTCTCTCGAGCACGTTTAATAATAATAATCCTTGCACTCGGTGTGAAGCCCTATCCCGTCTTCGAGAAGTCTCAAAGCGCTTCACAGAATATATTATAAAGCGAATCGGCTGTGTATTTTGTGGGCGAAACGCGGCGGCCGATGGCGCACAGCAGCGCCCCGCAAACAGCCGTGGATTGAGTGACCACATTCTTATTATATATTTTTGGGGGAAGGGATTATGAGCCCCGGAAGAGCGATCCGCCAATTGACTCACAACCGGGTTCCAACTTACTGCCAGGTAAACAGAGGCGGTGCGTGGAGTATGGAAACCTGCCCAACATTTCGCCCTGATGTGAATCGAACCCAGGTCCTCTTGCTTGCGAGGCGAGTGATCTAACCACTGAGCTACAGGACTCCACAGTTTGTCTGTCCGGAGCAAGCTGTGCCTTTCTCACCTTTGGTTGCCTTCGCTATTTCCCGGTTGTCGGCCAAACAAGCCAGACAGCAGTGCAAGGGGCAGCGGAAACCTTTCCCTTCGAACATGGCAGTGGAGTAACTCCTCAAACACGACTCGTGGTAAAACCTCCCGCACGAATTCACCGAGCACCTCTTCACGATCTTCCCAGACACCTTACACGAGAAACAAGTGTGATTTCCTGCAGGAGCAAAGGTTTCAAGGACAAGCAGGCATTACTACCTTTGACTGCAGAGCAACGTTTTACATCAGCTGCAAGTTATTTCACAGTAAACTCCCGATAACTCAACCCTGGCTTAACTTGTCGCTACCACTTAAGTCAGTCATCGTGCCGTCAATATCCCAGCCGCCTTTAATGATATATTTATACACACGCCTAACTCACCACTCCTGATAACTCGTCCCTGAATCGTTTTCCCTCAGAGTGACCACTTAACAACGATAATAATCCTTGCCTTTGATACAGCGCCTCATCACGTCGTTGAGACGTCTCAAAACCCTTCACAGGATACACTGTCGAGTGAATCGACTGTATATTTTGTGCCCAAACTTAACTACTTCTAAATACAATTATCGTTCACACGTTTCAGTTGTTGGAAAGTTCGCTGAACAAAAAAAACGGGGTGGGGGGATTATTATAGCAGGACTTTTTGGACACCCTGTATATGCTCCCGCTACATCTCAAAGCCAACGTGAGGACGACGGGAAGAAAATAACCAACCAACCGGGAACAGACAACAACATCAACAAATTACACTTGTATGGCACCCTTTTCGTCGGAAAGACATCCCAGGGCCCTGGACATCAGGAGTTTTGGTCCCGAGCTGGGAGTTGGGGGTCAGAAGGGGAGGAGGGCGTGGGTGGGGGTGGAAGGAAGGGTGGCCAAAGGCTCGCCCGAAGAAAGACACAATTCAGTGACTGGCGTTCGTTACCTGTCGTGCATTCCATACACGTGAACTTCCCATTGGGTAACTCTGCCAAACCCAGGCACTCCAGGTGAAAGACTCTGCAGCATTCTCCCTCGCAGGGCACCAGCGACTCGCCAGGTTTCTCGCAGATCTTAAGAGAGAGTGGGCGCAAAACAGTCCTTACACAGCGTTGGGACCTGGAAACTCTGCAACGGCCTCCCTCTATCCCTCCGCCTTGCCCCCGCACCCCCACTTTCTTCTCCATCTTCAGATTGCGGCTGAAGATCTTTTCCTCTTATAAATAATCCTTGCATTTGCATTTTTTGATAAGAGCGCCTTATCACATTTTCGAGACGTCTCTCAGAGCTTCACAGAATATACCGTAAAGCGAAATTGACCGTGTATTTTGTGGGTAAAATGCCTACGGTCACCTCCTTCCCCCCCCCCCCCCACCCCCCTCGGTGTTGTACTCTGCCTCTGTCGAGCGCTATAGGGCGCTACGTGAGGGGCACTGCGTTAAATGTACTTTGCCACTGATGGCGTTGGCGTGGCTCACCTGGCAGATGTTATCTTTCCTGGAGGCTCCTGAGCCGCGCCTGGACAGACACGAATCCACGGATGTACCGTCCGAGGCATCGCCGTCTGTAGGCCCCGGGGGGCTGTCCGCTCTCTTCTCCAGGCTAACCTGGGGGGGGGGGGGGGTCAACATCGTCTGCATTAGGGTCAGCAGGTAGGGCACAGGAACATACAGCAATCGCGATCCCAGTCATAACCGTCTCCTGGGATTAGCAAACCCTCATCAGCACGCAGTGCGGACTCTGGGTTTGGGTGGAAAGGCGGGGGGGGGGGGGAGAGAGGAACGTCTCAAAGTGCTTCACAGGATAATACTTCTTCTCTTCTGGTGTTGAGTTCAATTGCGCATTGATCGCTGATGCTTCCAAAGTATAATAACAATAAATAAATAGTAATAATCCTTGCATTTGATTTAGTGCCTTATCAGGTCCTTTCGAGATGTCTCAAAGCGCTTCACGGAAATATACTGTCGAGTCAATTGACGAAACACAGCAGCCAATTGCGCACAGCAGTGTCCCCCCCCCCAAACAGTCGTGGATTGAGCGACCAGTTTTTTTTATTTTTATTTTTGGAGGATTACCCCCGGAAAAGCAATCCGCCAATCGACTGACAAACCGGGTTCTTACTGACTGCTGGGTGTGTGGAGTAAGGAAACTTGCCTAACATTTGGAATCGAGCTTGGGTCCTCTCGCTTGCGAGGCGAGCACTCTAACCACTGAGCTACTCGACTCCACGGATATTTCTATACATGCACCGATCGAGTCCCTGATCTGAGCGCAGATTTCAACGGACTCCCCAAGCATTCATTGAGCGCAGCTCCTTCACTCACCAGGCCTCTGCAATCAGAATCGTTCACTTCCCTGTAACTGGAGCTGGTCATTTCCACGTCAGTGGAAGCTCGACTGCGCTTTTTCAACGGCTTACAGGCGTCAGAAAGTTCGCTGGCACCTACGAATAATAACAACAACATACCTTGAATTTGATATAGCGCCTTATCACGTCGTTGAGACGTCTCAAAGTGCTTCACGCAATCTACTGTCAAATGTATTGACTGTGTACTTGTGGGCGAAACGTGGCAGCCAATTGCGCACAGCGGCGTCCCACAAACAGTCGTGGATTGAGTGACCAAATTATTATTATGATTTTTTTTTGAAGGGATTATTACGCCAGGAAAAGCGATCCACCAATTGACTGCCAACTTTCCAGCATTAGGTGAGGCAGGATGTGTGCCTCCAGGGAGAGAGAGCGCGCGAGTGAGTGCGCGTTCCACTCCAACGCTCAATCTCTGGGATTCCCGTGTGTAGGCGGGATGCGTGGAAATCTCAGTTGGATTTGGAGGCTCTTCAGCAACGGCGATGAGTTTCCGCGCGTGTCAAGACACCTGACTGACCCCCGCAAAAGTCATGAATCGTTGATACTGAACTCTCTGCGAGTCACAACCAGTCAGGCACAAGGCTGGCTTACCTGGCAGGGCTGAACTCAGGGCAGATGCTTGTGTGTAAGGTAAGCAACCGCCTCTTTGTGGGCCTAGTTTCTCTGCTGTTACTGGCATGTCTTCTGCCTGTGGGTATAACAACACGTTCATCTGACGTGCTCATATAAGCGCCGCCTATTCTAAAACCCCCGGCAATTTTTGCTTCCAACACCGCTGCCTTCAGAATCGTCCCCAACTTTAGATAGCAATAATCCTGGCATTTATCACGTCTTCGGAACGTCTCAAAGCGCTTCACAGGAAATACTGCAAAGTGGAGTGACTGTGTACTTTGTGGGCGAAACCCGGCAGGCCATTGTGCACAGCAGCGTCCCCCACAAAACATTCGCGAATTGAGCGACGAAATTATTATTTTATTTTTTTTGAAGGGATTATTAACCCCGGAAAAGTGATCCGCCAATCGACTAACAACCGGGTTCCTACTTACTGCCGGGGAAACTGAGGCGCGTGTGCGTGCGCGTGGAGTAAGGGAACTTGCCTACGGTTTCACCCTGACCTGCCCAGGAATCGAACCCGGATCCTCTCGCTTCCGAAGCGAGCGCTCTAACCGGCGAGCTACAGGACTCCACGATATTTAAATGATGGTGAATGTTGTCAGTAGCCAGGCCTCCATATACTGCCCTCACCCTCAACAACAACAACAACTACTTGTGTTTCTATAGCGCCCTTCATGCGGGCAGCGACTCAAGAGTGCCCAGAGCCCTCCACTCGTCCCAGAGCGTACCTGTTCTTTACGCATTTTCTTTTTTGGCACAGCCTCCACGGATTTCTCGGACTCCGAGCGGCTTCTGACGCACCTTCTTTGCTGCTTTCTTTCCAAAGAACCTGGTAGGCGATTTACGCCGGAAACAAAAGGTTTTTGATTTGGGGTGGGTTTGCCGGCCTGAGCTCACGGACGGTCAAACACTTCGGTTAGAAGGGCAGCCTGGATCGATGACTGAGAAAACGGGTCTATTCATTATAATAATAATAATAATCCTTGCATTTGATACAGCGCCTTATCATGTCATTCGGACGTCTCAAAGCGCTTCGCAGGAATACTTTGTAAAGTGTAGTGACTGTGTATTTTGTGGGCAAAACGCAGTAGCCAATTGCACACAGCAGCGTCCCCACAAACATTCGTGGCCAATTTATTTTTATTTGTAAATATTTTTTTCTGAAGGGATCACAACGCCTGGAAAAGCGATCCGCCAATTGACTAACAACTGGGTTCCTACTTACTGCTCGGTAAACAGAGGCGTGAGTGTGTGTGTGTGTGTGTGTGTGTGTGTGTGGCGTAAGGAAACTTGCCCAATGTTTCGCTCTGCCGGGAATCAAACCTGGGTCCTCTCGCTTACGAGGCACTAACCACTAAGTTACAGGACTCCACGTTCACAACATTTTCACAGGAAATGACCCAGAATTAGATAAGAATATTGTATTACTATGATTATTGTTGTTGGTGGTCATATATATCTGGGGAGGATGGAGAAAAAATGTAAGACTTTTTAGGTGCGAGGGAATACAAAAACACGGGTTCACGTGAATTGTCCGGCAACCAGAAGGCTGTGGGCTTGCTTACCTGCTAAAAGGTCTCCATATGTGGAGTAGTGCGTCTCAGGCTCCTGTTGGTCGCTCTGCAAGTCTATGGGTGTGATGGCTACCTTGTCCACTTCTCTGCCAGACACATCTGTCTTAATACACGTTCCCTTGTAGGAATAAAATTAGCTTGTTACCCAAACGAGCCAGGAACCCAACCACCGACTGTTCACTAATTTCTTCTTCCCTGGGGAAGCCCGTTCATACCGGGACATTGGGGATGACAACGGTAGACAAGGAACAAAGATGTTCGGGGTGGGTGGACGGAGGGAAGAGGAAGCCAAAACTTTTAACTGTACGTTGAGGCAAAACTTTTCACCTTCGACTGCTTTTTTTTTTCAAGGAGTGTGTTGAACGCGTGTCAAGTCACTAGTTCTGAGCAAATGTACTGCTCGCTTCGTTCGAGATGATTTACTTACACACAAATGTACGCACTCACGCGCACGCACTCACACACACACACACACACAAAAGTTTAACACCGTTTAAAAATGGAAAGACGCATTAAATTCCATGAAGTGGAATTGTTTGTTCCGACAATTAAGAACCAGCGGTTGGCGATTACCACTGTTCTCTGAGGAAAATAATATACCAGATATAACGCAGTTAGCAGATCAATCTCTGTACTAAATCTCACTCCAACAGAGGCAGGAAAACCTGTCCAATGGAGCCAGTCGGTGGAGGTGGGGAGGGGGAAGAAGAGGGAGAGGAAAGAGATGGAAGAGGAGGGGAAAGGGAGAAAGAACCATGGGAGCTTTAGCAGTCAATAATGAACGCTCATTGTTCCATTAAATTAATTATATTTAATAATAATTTGTCCTCCCGGCCAGTTTCCTCTCTCTCTCTCGCTCTCACTCCTTCCGCCTCTCCTCTTGTGATTCAGCGACCAGCACGTGTTGCACAACCACAAAGGGAGGAGAGAGCTTGCCTGCTTCCCCTCAGTGACAGAAGCCACCGGCTTTGAGAGCACGAGAGAAAGAGAGTGACAGAGAGAGAGAGAGACAGACAGGGAGAGTCTGGGACAGGATTTTTGAGTTCAGATCTATTGGGATGGGGAACCCAAATGCTTCTTTATTATTATGATTAATCATCATTATTATTAAATGCTTCCACTGTTAACACTGAAAAGAACAGAGGGCAAAAGATATCACTGCACTGCAAAATTAACTGGAAACAAATCGAAAGGTGAAAGAGAATTAAAACAGTTTCCACTGATTTGCACAAGACTCTGACACCAGAACAAACCAGAACAGAACAGGCACGTAACGTACATACCCCACAGAGCCACTCGGTGAATTCCATTCATGTTCAGCAGAAACTTTTCTCAACTGTGGACCCGCGGGAAGACAGAGTGAATCAATCCGGGGTGGGGGGGTTGGGTGGTGGTGGGGGGGGGGGGGTGTGAGAATCACGCTGAGACCCACAGCACCGCTATTCATCACACACCTTACTTTGCCACGAAGCTACCAGTGACTTACTTAAGGCGCGACCCCAGAATTTCAGCTAAACGCAAAACTCCAAAAGGCCAAGCGGAGCCCTGTAGCTCAGTGGTTAGAGCATTCGCCTCGCAAGCGAGAGGACCTGTGTTTGATTCCCGGGCCGGGCGAAATGTTGGGCAAGTTGCCTTACTTCACACGCCGTCTGTGTTTACCTAGCAGTAAGTAGGAACCGGGTTGTTAGTCAATTGGCGGATGGCTTTTCCGGGGTGGGGTGGGGGGGGGGGGGGGCGAATAATCCCACAAAACAATAATTTGGTCACTCAACCCAAGACAATTTAGGGACACTGCTGTGCGCAATTGGCTGCTGCGATTCGCCCACAAAATATACAGTCAACTCACTTGACAGTACATTGTGTGAAGCGATTGGAGACGTCTCGAGAACGTGATGAGGCGCTATATCAACCGCAAGGATCATTATTAGTCGAGATTTTTACAGTTGTCCTCAAGAATTAGCGTTCAACGCTGTGATGTTGCATCTTTGGTTTATTCTATTGTTTGTATTGTACAAATACTGACTGTTTTTCAGGGTTACAGTACAATAGAAGCACAGATGACTTAACAAAACTTTAAGCGGGGGAGAGGGAGGGAGCGCTTTAGACTGTACACAGACTGGGTGGTTGAGTTGCTATGGGGCCAAAAGTTCTGGGTTTGAATCCCATTGGATCCGCTCAGCTCTCTCTTCGTCTGATCCAGGTCAATAAAACAAAGCAACAAGTCTAAAATTGTGTCTCAACTGGGGGGGAGGGTGTGTGGGTAGATTGGGGTGCGAGGAAGGGAGAGCAGGGGACGAGGTGGGAGAGGAAGAGGAGGATGAAGGCAATCAGGGTCTCTTCAGGACTAAATTGACGCCAAGGAGACAAACCGGGTGAAGCAATATAAGCTCCATAATAACCCAAGGCTCCGGCACATCAACAAGACTCCACGTTGCAGTAGATATGTCATGTGCTGAGCCCCGTGACCCAAAGCGATAATGGGTTAGGGGGCTCCCAGCTGGACAAGCTGTGTGAAGATCAACAGATATTTGCAGTGAAGTCCAGTTGTAAAGTTCCAATTCTACTTGGAAAAGGGACTCAAAACACACAATAGCTGGGGATGTGCCTGCACTGTAACAGGACTCCAAGGTCACTAACTGGAGGTAAACTGTGACGGGATACTCGATCTCCAGGGAAAGGTCAGAGTCAAAGTGCTTGTGTGCATTTTGCCAATAACCCTTCCTTCCTTTTGTTATGTTAGGAAATAATATCTCGGGCTGCAACATGCAGTTTGGGACACGACTATTTGTCCTTCCACGTGGAGAGGACATCCCAAAGAGGTTTGGTTAAGGGGATAAGAGGAATGTTGGTTGGGGGGAAGAGGGGCTTGTGTGGAGTATAAACACGGCACCGATTAGATGGGCCAATGGCCTGTTTATACAGTCTATAGTTTGGGACACCAGGATGGTGGAAGGCGAACCGGATGGACCTTGGTCTTCTTTCGCCGGGCAGATTCTTATGTTCTTCGCTCCCTCTCCCCGTTCTGGCTGCTTACCTCAACTCACGCTACTGAAAGTAAGGGAATCTTGGCTAAATTCCCTTCTCTCGTCTCTGAGGCCAGTGCTCAGCGGGAGCAAGGGGGTGGGAGGGGCAGAGAGAGTCGGTGTCACTTCAGGATCAGGTGGCCTGGCTCTGGGAATCTGGAGAGGGGTGATGGGGGGTGGGGGTGGCTTTGAAGGATGAAACGGAAGAGTCTAAGCCTTCCGCTCGCCTGGCAGACACAAGAAATCCCTCGCCGAATAAATCCTCAGCTCTTATCACAAGTTCCTGGCCACCCATTCCAGCTGTTTCACACACACGCACGCGCACACAAATCCATGCAAGCAAACACACACACACACGCGCGCGCACACTTAGAAAATTAGGCAAGTAGACACACACACAGAAAACTACACACATTCACAGGGAAACAACAACAACAAAATTACATTCGCGAAGCGCCTTTCACGTCGGGAGGACGCCCCAAGGCGCTGGGCCGTCTTCCCGACGTGAAAGGCGACGTAGAAAACTGCACACGCGCACACAGAAAACCACGCACCGACACGCACATACCATTCAGCCACAAGCGAGGGGGACAAGGGATGAGAAGCACAGTGATCGGTGGAAACATTAAACTGGCTGCTTGACAAGATTCCTCTCTTCCCCCCACCCCCCACCCTCTCCCCGCCACGTTTTTTTTTGGTTTAAAACGATCATTCAATAGTTACCCTTGTAAGTTCCTTCTTAGAGACAACTAAATACTGATTGACGCAGGTCCCTGGGGTTCCTTGCTCCTGGACCGACAGTACCTGATCGGACTTAGCGACTGGCAGCACGTCGCAGTCCGAGCTGCCGCCGTTTCTCTTCTCGACCTTCAGGTTGGCGAGAGAGGGCGGCAGCGATTTCCTGGCCGCTGCAGTCCTCCAGGCCATTTTTGGGGCTTCCCTTTCGCCCGGGTGCCCGTGCCCGTTCCCGTCTCCCGCAGAGGCCGGGCTGGGAGAATCCAGGTGCCTTTCCGACTCCTCCTGCTCCGCCCTGGGGAACATCCGAGGCTTTCTGCTCCTCTTCACCTCGGATTTCAGTGTCGCTGGCGACTTGTTGGACTCCAGCGAGGTTTCGAGTGGCGGGTCGACATAGATGAAGGTGTACTGTGCTATCCGGTCCTCCAAGGTCATCTTCAACGCTTCCTCCACCTGAGCGATGCCAACATCCCATTGAGGACGCACTCGCTGTGCTATGGGCTTGAGGATCTATGGGGGGGGGGGGGGGAAGGCCACAGACAGGCTCAGTTAAGGATACTGCAGCGACAATGAACGGCGAGGGAGTTGGGCACTTGGTCAAGGGGATCGATCAGCGTGGAGCCTTGTGCAGCTCAGTGGTTGGAGCACTCGCCTCGCAAGCGAGAGGACCTGGGTTCGATACCTGGGCAGGCAGGGCGAAGCGTTAGGCAAGTTTGCTTACTCTACACACACGCCTTTGTTTACACAGCAGTAAGTAGGAACCCGATTGTTAAGACGATTGGTGGGTTGCTTTACGAATCTTTTCAAAAAAAAATTTAAAATAATTTAGTTACTCAATCCATGACTGTTTGTGGGACACCGCAATTGGCTGTCGCGTTTCGCCCGCAAAATACACAGTCAATTCGCTTTACAGCGTATCCTGTGGTGAGGCGTCTCGAAGACACGATAAAGCGCTGCATCAACACAATCCAAAATTACATTTACACCGCGCCTTTCGCTGTGGGACGATGTCCCAAGGTGCTGGACAGTCAGGGATTTCGACCCGAGCTGAGGGGTGGGTTGGGGAACGTGTGAATGGAGCGTCTGGGAATAAATAAATACCTTTTGTTTCTCGGCTGTGCTGCTGGCCTGTCGGGCTGTCTCTGCCACCAGGATCTCGTACTGTGAGCAACCCTTGTAAGGCGCCACTCTCTTCTCGTGAACCCAGGCTCTTTCTGGTATGCTCCCGAAAAACTGCACGTGGTATTCCCGGGCACCTGAGCAAGAGTCGGCAAAGCTTACCAAAGGTTACGCTACATCTTCTTTTTAAAAAAAGATCACTTTTCCAGGAGTAATAATCCCTCCAAAAAAAATAATAATTTGGTTACTCAATTCACGGCTGTTTGCGGGACACTGCTGTGCGCAATTGGCTGCTGCCTTTCGCCCGTAAAATACCACAATTCACTCCATACTATATTCTGTGAAGCGCTTTGAGGCGTCTTGAAGACGTGATAAGTCGCTCTTTCACATGCAAAGATTGTTATTACTATTAATATTACATTTCCACTCCCCACAAGCCAGACCCCTGACCGCTCTTAAAAGATTCCTCGTTTTCGATGAGAAAAAATTAAATAGGAAATAAATAATCCTTACATTTTATACGGTGCCTTCTCACTTCATCGGGATGTCTCAAAGCACTTCACAAGATTTTACAGCGAAGTGTAGGCAAATGCGGCAGCCAAATTGTACGCAGCAATGTCCCTGCAAACAGCCGTGAAGGGCATGATTCCTACAGTGTCTTTTATGTAGGATAACATCCCGAAGAGCTCTACACAAACCGTATGGAGCACCGAGTAAGCTAGAACGAGGGAGAGAGTGAGGATGTTATCTGAAAGGACGGTAGGTTTTTTTTTAAGGAGGGGTTTGAAGGCTGGGAGAGAAGGAAGAGTTGGAGGAGTTCCAGCGGGCAGGACAACAGTGACTGAAAGCTTGGCTCTCAACAGTGTAGCAGAGGGGACAAGAGATAACACCACAGCAGGCCCGAGTTGGAGGAGAGGACCCCAGGCACAATCCTCTCAGCAAACCCCACAAAGAGAGACAGAGCAATGGGACGCCAACTTCTGCAGGGCTAAAGGCTTTTCTGGAAAATGTGGGACCAAATAGAAAAACTCCTTCCTTAAAATAAGCTTTCACTTATCTCCCGCCCCTCCACACACTTAGTATTGAAGCGTTGTCAACCACAAGCTACAGTATTTTGTCAGCAAATATCCAGGGAAGTACACTCCTGCCATGTCAGCATCTGCTCTGCCAGATTGCGTTGGTTGACGATTCAATGCCCCGTTGGACAGTTGGCAAAGAGCAGGCACCTCATTTTTGCTGCTTCCCTTCATGATTCGGCACCTCCCTCCCTCTCCGACCTGCTTACTTCCCAACCCACTACCTCCGCTTGACTGGCTTCAGCCTCCTGCTTGTCCCTCATGCCCTACATCCCACCATCGTTCCACCATTTATTTGGGGAATTTAATATCTCCGCGGACAATGCAACACCCACCCCCAGCCCTGATTCCAAGTCTCGACGTGGGGGCTTGAACACATAACCTTCTGACTCAGAGACAAGAACGCTACCACTAGCACTACCTATGAGTCTCACCGTATATGGGACAGGATAACGCACTTCATCAAATGCAAGGAAAACAACAACAACAACAACAAACACAGCGCTCCTCACACACGGTAGCGTCACAGAGCGCTTGACAGTGGCGGAGCAGGACGCCGAGCCGGGGGAGATGACCGTAAGTATGGTCAAAGAGGAAGGTCTTCAGGTGCGCTCTGAAGATGGGGAAGGAAGGGGCAAGACAAGAGGGAGAGTTTGAGGAAGTGTTCCAGAGTTTTGGGGCATAGTGGCTGATTATTATACTGCAGAGTTATTGCAGCTGAAGGTGTTTGCGAGGATAACCTTCTCGCTCTGGCGAAGGTATCTTTGCTGTAAAACACTGCGTCTGGAGGGTGGACGGCCTCACCTCGTGTGTTGATCTTCGTGTGAATCTGCAGCAGGGGGTCGGAGGAGACCATACAAGGCCACCAGGGGTACGTGCCAACCTTGGACCACACCAGATCCCCAATCTGGTACTGGGCTGTAACTGCACTCTGGCCTCCGAAGGCTGGCAAGTGAGGGACCTGAAAGAGAGAGAGTAAGGTTTGAACTCCGTAGCTTGGAAGGAGATAGAAGAGGAATCACGCACCAACAACAACTTGCATTTATATAGCGCCCCCCCCCACGCAGGGTAGCGACCCGAGCGCAGGCTGAATGCTGTACTTGTAATGGGAGAAGGCTATTCGGCCCATCGTGCCTGTGCTATCCACTCCCCCGCTTTTACCCCATAGCCCCGCACATTTTTCCTTTTCAAGTCCCTATCCAATTCCCTTTTGAAAGCTACTATCGAATCGGCTGCCACCAGCCTTTCAGGCAATGCATTCCAGACCGCAACAACTCTCCGGGTAAATTAATTTCTCCTCGTCTCCCCTCCGTTTTTTTTGGCAATTGTCTTAAATCTGTGTCCTCTTGGTTACCGACCCACCCGCCAGAAGCAATAGTTTCTCCGTGTCTACTCTATCAAAACCCCTCATAATTTTGAACATCTCTCCCCCTCAACCTTCTCTGCTCTCAGAAGAACAACCCCACCCTCTCGAGTCTCTCCAGTGAAGAAGGCAGACAATTTGCTGACAGAAGTGAACGCCAAACGGGCCTGACCAATTTTATACGCGGAGAACTGTTAGCCAGGACCCTAACTGGGAGGAACACCCTCCTTTTTTCAAACAGTGCCTTGGGATCTTTAGAATCCATACAGATGGGATCTCGGATTAAAGTCTCACAAGAAGGATGACACCTCTGACATTGCAGACCCCTCCACCGCGGCGTGTCCAGAGTCCCGACTTGGGGCTTGAACCCAAGATATTCTGACTCCGAGGCGAGCAGTGCCACCCTCCGAGCCAGGCTGACAGTTTTGGTGTCCTGCTCGGTCGTTCCTGACCCGCCAAGCGATTTCACGCCAAAGCTGGCGGGGATCTCGCGCAACGAACGGCAAGGACGCGGGAATTAAACCTCAGACCTGACTGAACAGATTTTTCCTGTTGTACACCACAGAGGATATCCAGTTGTAACCTGCTCGGCACATAAACAAATCCCTTACCAAGCCTCAGAAAGTTATGTGCTTTGAACAAGCCGTTTCCTGCGCTGGCTTCCCTTTGTCAAAGGAAAGAAGACAGCGCTTAACGGGAGGCAAATGATGACCTCGATGTTTCACCACCGATCTGAAACATGCCCGCGTCTGTCAAAACAGGACCCATTGCCGACCCCTCCCAATCCGGACTAAATACACACCCACGCTGAGCTTGGTACAACAACAACAGCTTGCATTTATATGGCACCCCTCAAGAGCGCTAACACAGCGCCACACCAGATAACTGATAAGTGTGTGATCACAAAACGCGATAAACTGCAAAACAACAAGGTCAAAGTTTGGGCACAAAGTGTGTGCTGCGTTCACGCTGTGAGGCGAGAGCGTGTCGGTGCGAGGGTAAAAACCTCAGGCAGATTTACACCCAACACCTCAGCCACTTCCCCCAACACATAGAAGTTGTCTCAATAATAATAATAATAATCCTTGCATTTGATATAGTGCTTTTCACGTCGGGAGGACGTCCCAAAGCGCTTCACAGAACACACTGCAAAGTGAATTGACTGTATATTTGTGGGCGAACGCGGCAGCCAATGGCGCACAGCAGTGTCCCACAAAGTGTCGTAGATTGAAAATGACCAATTTATTACTGTTTTTGGGGTTTTGGAGGGATTATTATTAGGCTCTGTGTGGAGTAAGGAAACTTGCCCAAGGTTTCGCCCTCTGCCTGGAATTGAACTCAGGTCTCTCACTTGCAAAGCGAGTGCTCTAACCACTGAAATACAGGACTCCACCTGAATGACAATAGGTTAACGCACTCTGGACCGACGCTCACAAGCAACGACGCACAATTATAATATACTGAAGCGCGTCTGAAATTGCTGCTCGCTTCACCGAACAGTTTCCAAAAAAACAACACACGAACAGCACGTGCAAACTGCGACGAGGTTACTCCGAAAGGGACCGGACCGTCCAAGCCCCCGGTAAGTGTGCCAGCGCAAACTCCTCCGTTCACAACGTGGGAGGTTTACAAGCCCATCAAAAAAAAAATAACATTCTCTCTCTCTCTCTCTCTCTCTCTCGCACGCACGCGCGCGAACCCACAACAACAACAACTTGGATTTATGCCGCGCCTCACACCCGGACGGAGCAGCATCTCGGAACGTTCAACAGTGGCAGAACCTGACCCAGAGCTGGCGGCGGGGGTGGGGGAGAGGAGGTGACCTTTGAATAAATAAACACATTTTAAAATATATACATTTTACTTAAAATAAACGTTACACTTTGGATGTAAAAAGATACACACACCCAAGGAGCACAACCCCACTGGGAGCCCTGAAGGCTTCGCTGGTGCAAAAATCCCTTCCCATCCCATATTCTACGTGTAAGGTTACGGAGACTGAATTGCCCCCTTTGCCTGTGGTCGGTTGGGGGGGGGAGGGGGGGAATTAGGGAGAGAGAGATTGAGATAATCTCTCACCGTTAATAAAAATCACAAAGCGATACGTCGGGACGGAAAGGGCTGCACGTGGAGCTTTGCCCCCCCCCACCCCACCCCCAGCGTTTGCAAAGGACTCACTTTGTGTTCCTCGGGCTCCGCTTTGATGACCTTCTTCCTGGTCTGCTCCTCCCCGCTGCAGGAGTCGTGCTTTTTCCTCTTCTTCTTCTCCCTCTTCTGCTCGCGGGCGGCCGCCAGGGGCGACTGGGCCTGCGACTGCGCCTGCTCCTCGTTCAGGAGGTCTCCGCACAGCGAGGACTCGAACAGCGCCTTGCCGTTGTGGTAGGTCTTGGTGATGCGCAGCTTGATCTCGGGGGAGCCCGTCTTCTTTGGCGTGGCGGGCTCGGAGGCAGGAGGCGAGGGCGCTTTCTCCTGGATCTCCGGCGGCTTGACGATGCAGTTCTCCACCGCGTAATAGTCGGCGGAGGCCAAGTTTCTGTACGTTCCATAGCCGTTGGCAGAGCCATTGGGCAGCTGAGAGTATCCTGCGTACTTGTTTGGGGCGTCGTATAGGTTTACGCTGGCGTAGCCGTTGGTAACTGGTGGGATACTGTCAGCGCTGGAAGCAGGGTAGATAAAGCCTTGCTGTAAGGAAGCTTCGTAGGTTTGCCCTCTGTCTTCCCCGATACCACTGGCGGCATTGAGAACATCAGGAACCTGCCTCATGTTGGCTGAATCAATAAGTTGTTGTGGCAGCTGTATCGTGTTTCCCATGATACCTTTCATGAATGAGTAGGAGAGATCCATCGTGTTGCCCCCGCATCCTCAACTTTCCCTCTCGCCTGTTGAGCCTTTGGGTGGGTGAGGGGTGGGGGTTGGGGGAGGGAGGGAGGGAGGGAGGGGGGGGGAGGCGGAGGAAGAAAGACAAGAGACGACGTTACTACTCGTCCAGATCAAAGAGCCGGGAAAAAAAAGCCACAAGCACACCTCATTTTGAATGTGGTTTTGTGACAATAATAATCCTCGCATTCGATAATAATAATAATAATAATCTGCTACAAATTCGACCACGAACCCACAACTGTTAAACGAATTGCAATGGGGGCGGCAGGAGGCCGGAGCCGGTCGAGCGGAGGCAACGGGTAGTGGGTCGGGGGGGGTGGGAGAGGTAGGGAGGTGCCAAGGCGTGAATGACATTCCCATTATTAATACCACAAGGATTATGGTATGAAGGGATTCCAAGGTGACTCAATGTTCTGACTCGGAGACAAGAGTACTACCTGATCAGTCCGACCGATACATTACTGTTTCAGTGTGTGCAATTCGGGGCCCAAACGTGCACACAGATCCGTCTGTAACGTTGCGATGGAGGGAAAGGCAGAGGAGTAAAATACACTACTCTGCGAGCGTCAGCTTGTGCGTATTATTTTTCATCCAGCGCGGACAAAAATATCTTATGCAAATGGGACTGCCGGGGATTTATCCAGGGAACTCCGTGGCCTGAGCTGATGAGTTTGTTTACTGCCGAACTGCTGCTGGTAAGAATCTGCCGACGCTCGAACCGTTCACAACATTTCTACGAGGAATTGCTCATTTTCCCGAGCACAACCTTGTGCAACACGCCAAACGGCTTCACGCCGTCAAACCACAAGAAGAATCCTTGCGTTTGCTGAAGCGCCTCATCGCACCAACGAGACGGCCGAGACGTCTCGAACCGCTTCACAGTTGTGGGCTGATCACCGGAGAAGGAGAGGGACTCGATCTAATTGCTTCTTTCGCCACAGAAGTACGTGTTTAAAATCAGCGAAAGGTGACTGCAGTCAAAAAAAAATTATGACCGTGTGGCACTGCTGTGCGCTATTGGCTGTCGTGTTTCGCCCACACAAATACACAGTCCCTCCACTTTACAATACATCCGGTAGAGCACTTTGAAGGGTCTCAATGACGTCTCAAACGCTTTTAGTTGTGAAATGAACTCACAAACGTAAATTTATTTATTCTCCGCTGACTGGGTGCTCGAGAGCTCAGCAATGTTTTTTTTTTCACGCTCTTTCGATGAAAAGGAAAGCTCTGCACTACTTTTAAGACTTTTCCATAGCAACAATTTTGCTCCTGTCCCTGGTGACCAGACAACAGAGGCGTTTGGGGAAAAGATTATTTCAGCAAAAACACCTGGGAATCAAGACCATAACACACATGTTTGTCTGCTCCTGCCTTTCGCTCCAAAAAAAATATAAGCTCTGTTACTCTGCTTGCACTTGATATAGCTCCTTTCATGGTGGGAGGATGTCTCCGAAGCGCTTCACGAAGTGCAGTGACCGTGTATTTTTGTAGGCACATGCGGCAAGCGTGTCAGCCCGACTCAGTGGTAGCGCTCTCGTCTCTGAGTCGGGAGTTTGCGGGTTCGAGCCCCATGACGGGGTGAAGTTATACTGTCGGATAAGGAGTCAGATAAGACATTAAAACCGAGGGGCTACTAATTCCGCCAATTTTGAGGCGACAACAGTCTTAATATGCTAAAAGCAAACGGTGTGTATTGCACATTGCAAATTTGTTTAACTTATTTCCCAATGCAATGTTATCATTCAACAGATGTTGAGCAATATTTGAATATCTGTGGTAATCGCCACTGGAAGGAGATTGAGGGGGAAACTGAGGAATTAGAATCACTAAACGCCGCAACACCCAGACAACAACAATTTGCATTTATACAGCGCCCCTCACGCAGGTGAGCGTCCCAGGGCGCTTGACAGTGGCAGAGCACGACGCTAAGCCGGAGGGAGGACGTGACCATAGGTACGGTCGAAGAGGAAGGTCTTCAGGCGCGATAGCTAACGTTATTGTGAGACGGCTCTTGCATTCATTGTGAGCTGGTAACTAGGAGGCAGAGACTGGGCGAATATTCAAGATCATTACCAAAGCCACTAAGGGAGCGCGCACACACGCGCGCGCGCACAAGTACGTACACACACACACACACATACACACTATTATGACATGGAATGCAGTACCAAAAATACAGAGTGAAGCAGAACCGTACAATACCTTTTAAAAGGAAACCGACAAATATTTCAAAAATAAGCTATAAAGTGGTATGGCGGAAACAGGTCAGGGCTAAATGGATAGCTCTTTCAGAGAGACGGTGCAGACATAATAGCCAACAGCTATAAATTTCTATGTGCTGTAAATTTCAATGGCTCAAAATATACACATATATCACACATTACAGTGTATAGTGGTGAGAAGCGGAATTCCTTCTCATTTTGACTTCTGTTTAAAGCTTTTTCATTTAACAGCAACGCCCTCTCCTCTCATGGTCCGAGTCAAACAGCCTGTTTACATCGACATCATACACGTACCTCACCATTTCATATGAAAACACCCATATACGATTTAGCCTTGTAATCCCATACCAGTTATGATTATTATTATTACCAGCTCTTCCGCCTTCACAAAACACACAAGCATTTCTGGCTGTGACTGGAAACGAACCTTATTAAGCCAAAAGTGCTTTTAAGAAACGGACGGCTATAATTTCTGTCCTTTTAAAGGGTCGCACCCCATACGGTAAATTATCTTTCACGGCCTGACTGACACGCTGGAGATTTTTTCGCCTTTACCAGCTTTCCAGCATTCGTCCGGTATTTTTTTCTCTCTCAAAATGACTCGGGGCTCAATTCCACAAAAAAAGGAAATCGTCAGAAAGGTCTGATCCAGCGCTCTGGTAGCGACTGAAGCCAGACAGGAGAGTCTGTCTGCGTGTGTGTGTGTGTAAGGGGCTCATTCTCAAATTACGTCATGCGCTTATCATTCCAATTCCACACATAAAACCGCACTCCGACCAGATTCTGAGTGACAGATTCTGAATCGCCCGGTTTTAAAATCCCTGCAAATTCCAACGGCGCTCAAAGCAGCACACAAGAGTTATGGCCAGTTACCTGAACACCACCGCGCCTACGGTTGGACAACAACAACTTGCATTTAGGCAGGGCAGCGTCCCAGAGCGCTCGACAGTGGTGGAGCACGATTCTGAACCGGGGGTGGGGAGGGGAGGGGAGTGGGGAAGCGACCGTAGGCACGGCCGAAGAGGAGGGTTTTCAGGCCAGACCTGAAGATGGGAAAGGAGGGGGCAAGATGGAGGGATAAAGAGTTTTCTGGAGTTTCAGGGCATAGTGGCTGAAAGCATGGCTCCCGATGATGGGACGAGAGGACGGACAGGACACGCGGTATCCCAGGGTAGTAAGTGGTTCACCTCCGTCAACCTGGCAACTGAGCCTGGCACAGAACACACACAGACGAAGTACACCGGCCCACAGTGTCATGTAAACGAGGTAAACCAATGAACCTTGGCCAAATCACAAGCAGCCGAGAAGCCAAAAACCCAAAAACTCCATGACAAGCATTCGCTCCAACCGCAACGAACATCGCGCTGCAGAGCAATGCGTGCAACAAATATCCCAAATCATTTGCTCGGCCTCTAATAATAATAATCCTTGCATTTATCCAGCGGCGGCGGCCCAGCTTTTTGGTTGGCCCACAAGATAATCATGGAAATAACAAAACAGCATATAGATTGATGCCATCAATCCGGAAACATTCAATCAAGAAACATTTATTTTGTTAAGTCAACCAAGCTGGTTTGCAAATCATTGCGCTTGTCGGTACCTGCCATCAAACACACACGCCAAGCCTTGTCTGCCTGTGTATGCAGGTCTATCGACACTTGAGTCGAGGCTTAAAGAGGTGCGTGACCAAGCCTCGGATCCCCCTGCACATTTGTTGGGGCTGCTCTTGGCATTGAAAGAAAACAAAGCTAGGTATTAAAGGACCAGATGCAGAGAGAGTGGCAGGTGCAATTCAACTGCAACAACTTGCATCTGTATAACGACATTCACGTCAGATATCGTCTCGGAGCACTTCACAAGGGCAGTGTCACAAGCAGAGGTGTTGCTATGTGGCACATGACAGATGACTCAATATCACAGTCCACCGTTCTTTGGTGAGATTTCTTCAAAGGGCGACTGACAGGCAGATTCCACTCGAGTTGCAATATGACAGACGTGACACTGAACTTTAACGTGAAAACAAGACGGCAGAGGTGATTGGCCTAGGAATGGGGAGGAAGAGAGTTAGCCAGGATTCACCCTCATCATTGCTGGTAACTCCTGGAATGTTTCTGCAAAGAAATGAGCCCCTTTAGTCCCACAAATAGTCATGATGCGAATGGCCAATTCTATCGGGTTGGCTGGTGGTCAGGACTCTGGGCCAAACTCTCTTCTCTTTTCCAACAGGTAGACGAGACCTTGGTTTCACTCCTCACCCAAAGGGCAGTATCTCCAACAATGCAGCACTTCCCAGCACTACACTGGAGAGTCACCTAGATTGTAAGTTTAAAGACCTGCTGTGGGACTCGAACCTGTAAACGTCTGACTCGGACGGGATTAATAATAATCCTTTCATTTGACGTAGTGCCTTTCATGTCAGGGGGACATCTCACAAGCGCTGCAGAGGAAATACTGTGTTGTATACGTGCAGTGGCTGCATTTAGAATACTTGCACCTAGTTCAGGTGAATTGAGTAATATAATAATCCTTGCATTTGATATAGCGCCTTACTGTGTCTTCACGACATCTCAAAGTGGTTCACAGAATGTACTGCAAAGTGAACTGACTATATTTTGTGGGCGACATATTATATTATTATTATGTGTGTGTAGTGGCTGTGTTTAGAGTGCTGACATCTAGCTCTGGTGGATTGAGTACATATAAAAGCACACTGGAACTCTCTGTTTTGGTGAAGATTCATATTTCTTTTTAGACTGATGAGGCAGATTCTGAACTTCCTTCTGGCTACGTACACAAAACTCGTAAGGGAATCAGGAAGTGAGTTATTGGAAATCGCACAACGACCGTTGTTCTTATGCCAAGAATTTTTACTGATGTAAATACCAAGTTGATGTTAAAAAAGTCAGCAGGATTGACTGGGAGAGTTTATGCACCATCTATGCTATTAATATTTCTCTTTCTATGATCATTGTAAACGTACCAATGCCTCCAGAGCGCTGCATAATCGGATTTCTTTTTCACAGCCAGTGTCACTCAAATAGCTTTCCCGACACGTAAATAAATGGAAAGTGAAATGGTGCACCAGGAATTTAAATCCAGAGTAAGAAAGCATGTCAGTGCATCTTTCATCTTAATTAACAGTTTAAAGAGAGGTTCAATAAACATTCATGATTTTACAAACTGACATCAGCAACATTCCTGAAAATGTCATCCTTAAAAGCCAGCTATCTAAACCCACAACAAGGTAAAAAAAACAACACCTGCTTTTTGGAATAATTATTAAGTCATGAACTTGGGTCTCTCTCTCTCTCTCTCTCTCGCTGCCTCTTGACTAATTTTACCAGTTACATCATTTGATTTGTCCTTCCACAAACGAGATGGAAGTGTGTATGTGCGCGCGTGTGTGGGTGATAAGAGAGGAATAAAACAAACACACGCACGCACAGCCGAGCCAAAAAAACACAGAAAACAAATTCGAACGGCTGGATTTTGTGCACGCTTGCCAAAGGTTGAGGGGAGGTAGATGTTTGTGCGTACACCAAACGCGCTGCAACTTCATTGTATCCTGGCGTACGGGGAAAACAAGAAAGAGGTAGAGAGGGAAAGGGAGGGCGCGGGGAGAGAAAAGCGGGGGAGAGAGAGACAGAAAGTGGCAGCAATATGGCTGCCACTGCCCCTTTAAATCAAGCATTGTACCCAACCAACCTCCTCCAAAACCTCAACACGCACACATTACGCGTCATGCCCTATCCTGCCCAGCCCCGGCTGAACTTCGCATTTTTAATGTTTCACATTTAATTTTTTTTAAAAAAAAAAAACAAAAAAAAAAGCCCCAGCCGTGCCCCGGGGCTGGCTGAACTTTCTGGCATTTTCAACATTTATGTTTTCGATATCCATGTACGAAATGAAAAGAAAAGGAGCGAAAGGATGCAGGAAAACGTGAAACAAAATGGGCGGAGGTTTCAAAACACGCAAAACAGCTCGTTCCACTCTCGACACACTCAGCCCCAGCTTGGCTGAACTTTTTTGCATTATTAACATTCATGTTGGTAATGTATAGCAATTAATAACAATAATCCTTGAATTTTATACAGCGCCCTATCACGTCGGCAAGACGTCTCAAAGCGCTTCACAGAATATACTGTAAAGTGTGGCGACTATATGTCGCGGGCCGAACACGACAGCCGATTGCACACAACTGTGTCCCACAAACAGCCGTGGATTGCGTGACTGAATAATTATTATCTATTTATTTTTGAAGGGATTATTACGTTACACCCCCCCCCCCCAACACCCCGCCCGCCCCGGGTAAGCGATCCGCCAATCGACTAACAACCCGGGCTCTTTGCTGACAGCCGAGTAAACAGAAGGAAAAAAAAATACCCGATAACATCCTATTAATTAGGGCGCGTTGCGACGTCGCGAAGCCGCGATGCAGAACAGAATACGCATTTAGAACGACGATCCTCACATGCGACCGCGTCTCCGAGACGTCCCGAAGCGCTTCGCGGGAATCCGCCGTGAAGTGTAGTGACTGTGATTTTCGCGAATGGGGCGGGCGGCGGCGGCGTGGCGGCGTCATCTGAAACGCGAGGCTCACCGCCACGCCAGAACGCCGCCCCCGCCGCCCGCGTCTTCGAGACGCCTCCGCCGAGGGCTTCCACGCGGGACTCCGCGCCGCGCAGTGTAGTGACTGCGCGGCGGGCGGGCGGACGGGCGTCGTTTGCCCCCGCGTAACAATCCTCGCGCGGCGGGGAAGGAGGAGGAGGAGGAGGAGGGGGGAAAAAGAGAGAGGGAGACGAAGGAAACAACAACAACAACAAACAAACAAACAACAACGGGGGGAGGAGGGGGGAGAGAAACATGAAACAAAATGGGTGAAGGTTCCCCCCACACACCCCCACCCCCACACAGTTACCTTCAGCTTGTTCCATTCTCTACACACTCAAGTCCCCAGCTCGGGCTCGGGCTCGGGGCTCGGGGCTCGGGTCGGGAGTTGGCGAGTGGCGAGGGAGGACGGAGCGGAGCGGACCAACGGCCGAGAGGAGGAGGAGGAGGAAGAGGAGAGAGAGAGAGGAAGATGTCCATTCGGGGCCTAGTCGCCTCAGCACAGCCTGACTGCAGCCGCCCCGAGCTCCATTACCGCCGCCGCCGCCGGCCTACAGCCTGGGCCCGGGCCTCGCCTCTCCTCTTGCCGCCCGCGCTGTCGTCGTAGGCCGCCGCCGCCGCCGTGCCCTCAGAGGCCCCGCTCGCTGTCGGGCGGGGGGGTTGTCAAGGCTACTCCAGGTCGGTCGGTCGGTCCCTCACTCCCTCTTCTTTTTCCTGACCGACTCCCTTCCCCTCACTCACTCACTCACTCCTTCGTTCGTTCGTTCACTCGCTCGCGCGCTCCCCTCAGGTTGACTGACTGACGCTCGAGCGCGCGCTCGCGCTCTCTCTCGCTCCCACCCCCTTCCCGTTGACGCTCTCGTCGCGAGCCGCACAAAGGCCCCCGGCCGCGCTCAGCGCCCAAACCCCGCGCTCCCATTGGCTGAGCCGCCCCGCGCAGCCCGCCTTTTCCCCCCCGTCCCTCACTTCCGCCTCCGCCCGTGACGCAGCTTGGGAAATGTAGTCCCTCCCTCCGCGCGGGGCAGCTTGGGGATTGTAGTTCCTCCCCACACCAGCCCAGAGCATCACATAGAGAGAGACAGACAGATACAAGGGGTGGTGGTGGGGGGGGGGAAGGAATGAGAAAGAGAGAAGGAATAATAATAATAATAATAATAAATAATAATAATAAATAATAGATCATCCTGGCGTTCGACCCGGCGCCTGATCGCGCCTTCGAGGCGTCCCGAAGCGCTTCCCAGGACACACTGTAAAGTTGCAGTGGCTGCGCGTTCTGTGGACGGAACGCGGAGCCGAATGGGACACAGCACCGTTCCCGTCACTCGGTGACGGATTGAGTGATGACTTTTTTTTTAAAAAAAGGGGGGGATGGAGAGAGAGAGGGGGGGAGGGGAAAGGGGAGCGGGGTACGGAGGGGTACGATTAGGAATAGCCGTTTGATATAGCACCTTTCGCTTTGGGAGGGCCTCTCAAAGTGCTTGAGAATAATTTCGCTGTTAATTGTAATGTCCTTGCAGGCAAACGCAGCACACAATTTTGTACGCAGCAATGTCCTGCAAACAGAATGATTTTATTTGGGGTTAGGGTTTCAGCGAGGACCCCGTCTCGGAGAAACTCTGCTCTTTTTCTTTTCCCAAATGTGCCATAAGATGTTTAACGTCCACCTGAACCCACATTGCTTTGGAGTGCCAAGCAACGATACATGGGTTGAACCTGCAACCTTCTGACGTGGGAGGCGAGAGCGTTTCCAACCGAACGAAGTCGACACACACACACAGACGCACAACGCTTGCATCTGGTACCGCAACTTATCACATCGTCAGAATATTTCAAACCACTTCAAAGGATTTTACTGTGAAGTGTAACTGCTGTATTTCGTACGTAAACATGGCAACCAATTTGCATTCCGTAGTGTCCCATAAACAGCTACGAAGTGAATGTTTCACTTGTTTCTGGAGAATTGTTGGCGAGGGCAAGGACTGGGAGAAACTCCCTTCTCTTTTTGCAAAGTGCCACGGGATCTTTAACACCCGTGTAAGCAGGCACAAACAGGACCTTAGTTTAACGTCTCCTTGAAAAGACGACACCTCTGACAATGCCGCGCTCCCCCAGCACTGTATTGGAGCGTCAGCCTGGACTGTGAGTTCAAAATCCCAAAGTGGCAGCTTGAATCCACAGCCTTCTGACTCAGAGACGAGAGAGAGCTACCAACGGAGCCAGGCTGACAGACAGGATAGTGAAAAGCAGAATACGTAGGAGAGGTAGAGAGAGAGAGAGAGAGAGAGCAAGCGTACTGCATTAACAAAAAGAAACAATAAAAGGTAAAAAAAAATAAATGTTGGCCTATGAAGAATACACTACTGGAGTCTGCTGTTGCAATTTCCCTCATGTACAAAAAGCTGCGATGCACAGATTTCCATTAAATGCGAAAATCCAAAAGCCCAGAGGGCAAAACAAATCTGCTTCTGTAACAGTAACAAACAGACAAATCTTCAGAGACTGATGGCTGTGATAAACCCAGAGAGACTGGCTGTATCTGGAATATAAAAATAAAGACAATTACATGACAAGCAAACAGGAATTAAAGAAAGGTAGAAACAGTGCCGAGAAGAGAAAGCAAAACTGGAGAGAGGGAGGAATTAAAATAATTATGTAAACCTCCAATCAGGACTGTTATTTACATTTATAATATAATACTAGGCATATATTAAAAAAATACAGTAATCATCGTTGCATTTGATAATGTCAAAGCTCTTCACAGGATTTCTTGAAGTGTAGTGACTATTTATAGGCAGACTCAGCTGCCAATTTGCGCACAACATCCCACAAACAAACATTTTTTAAACAAAAATCATGGGGGTAAAATCAAAGAGAAACTCCCTTCTCTTTGGAGGATATTTAACATCCACCTCAAGAGTCACAGATGAGGTCAGTTTTACGTCGCAGCCAAAAGGCGTCTACTCTGACAGTGCATTACCGCCCCACCTCCACCCCCAGCACTGTACTGGAGTATCATCCGAGTTAATGTGATTTATTGTCCTGTTTAAAGACACACACACGCACATCAGGCACTGTTGAGCTCCAAAGTCTATTTATTTCATTACTGGACAGATCTGGGGAAGCATCAGGCCTCAAGCGCAACCCGCGACCTCGTCTCCAAAAACTCAACAAGATAAACCAAGGTAAACGTAAAACAAGACACGTGTGCCAATTGTTATAAGCGCTGTATATAATTCAACGATATGACCAGGAGAAAGGAGGAAAAAATAATAACAATCGTTGCATTCGATATAGCATTTTATCACATCGTTGAGATGTTCAGCGCCTTGGGACGTCCTCCTGACATGAAAGGTACTATACAAATGGAATTTTGTTGGTGGTGGTGTCTCAAAGTGCTTCACAGAATATACTGTAAAGTGAACTGTCTATATTTTGTGGGTGAAACGCAGCAGCCAATTGTACACAGCAGTGTCCCATAAATAGTCATGGATTGAGTGGGGTTTTTTTGTTAAAAAAAAAGGGATTATTACCCCCCAGAAAGCAATCTGCCAATCAACTAACAACCGGGTTCCTACTTACTGGATTGACCGCATTTTGTGGGCAATACGTGGCCGGACTTAAATTATAAAAAGCATTTAAGTTGCAAGGCCTTCGTGTCAAGTCGCTCTAAATAAAGCATTGCATTTGACATCAGGCCATTGCGCAACGCGCTGTGTTCATCTCAGGAAACAGCGGACAGCTGCGAAGCCACAAAACGAGCGCGGCAGTCGGTCGTGCTCCGCGGGTTGCGTACGCCTTGGTTTCAGCGGACTATGGGTCTCCAGGAAGTATTAAGGTTGAGACAAGGCTCAGCTTCCTAGCGTACAATTCAGCCTTAACCGCGGCCCCACCCTCCCCGGGCGCTCGCGCACGCGCACGCGCACACGCACACGCGCACACACGCTTGCCAAACAGGAAACCAGACCAATTCAGAGACCACATCCTCTCCTCAACTTTGTTCTCGCAACAAGTCAAGATGTGGCTTCTGTTCGAGATAAGAACCAGCAGGACGGAGCCGTTGCAAGTTGTCTGTATATCTTGCGGCAGCGTTCCCGCACACAGTCGTGGACTGAGTGACCAAATCATTATTATTTTTTTTCTTTATGGGATTATTGCCCCAAGGAAAGTAACCCTCACGGAATATACTGTATGTGTATATATATATATATACTGTATACACATAAATATATACTGTATATACATGGAATGAAGTTGCACCAATTTTCTTGACTGTGTATTTTCTGGGTGAATATACGCCGCCGAGAAAATTGGTGCAACTTTCATTCTATGTTTTTAGTTTAAAAAAAAAGGTTTCCTCTGCAGGAGCAAAGTCAGCAAAGATGCCGCCTGGTGTTGCGAGCGGCTAAACAGGCCGTAGGTCCTCCTCTTAAAGTCCCTGACTTTGCCGTTCGTTCACAGCTGAGATAACAGCACGGCCACAATAATAATAATAATAATAATAATAAAAGGCTGAACCCAGAACAGGGCAATTAACGAGAACTCCGGAGGGAGGAGGCAGAGATAAATTAGACGCAATAATAATAATAATTTGATATCGCGTCTTATCACTGTCTTCGAGACGCCTCGAAGCGCTGCACGGAATTGTAATAGTAATGATATAATAATAATAATAATAATAATAATATTATTCCGCGCCCTCGGCCCTAAATTCTGTCCGTTTCTCTCTCTCAAAAAGAAAAAAAAAACGCACCCGTTCGCCGCACCTTAAGGGCAATTCGGGGGTTCGAGCCCCCGCCCCCCCCCCACACACCCCGCGCGGCTACGGGAGAAGGGGTGGGGAGTGGGGCGTTGGGGGGTTGGTACCCGTTGTACGGCACCCGTTGCCTTCGTTCCTCCGGGTCTGGCCTCCTGCCCGCCCGCCCGTCCCCCCCCGCCCGCCCCGCCCCGCCCTCGGCGGCCGTGCCTTCAGCCGATGCGCCCCGAGGCTCTGGGACTGCCTTCCTCACCCCCACCCCCACCCCCTCCCCCTTCCCCGTGGCTCGGGCCCGGGGTCCGTCTCTGCGAAGCGCTCCGAGACGCCCGTCCGGCGCGGAGGGCGCTATATAGATCCAAGTTGTTGTCGTCGTTGTCGTCGTTGTTGTCGTCGTTGTTGTCGTTGTCGTACTCGCTGAGCTCAGGGGTGTGGGGGGGGGGGAGAGAGCGCCCCCATCCCCGGCGATCCCGTACTTCGGACAAGACCTTACAACTGAGGTCCCGGCTTACGGAGCGCTCTGGGGCGCTATCCCGCGGCCGTGTCCACGCATGCAAGTCGTCGTCGTTGTTTTAGGTCACTGACGGTTGGCCAGTGGGGGGGCGGGACCTGAGCCGCCGAGATCCCGCCCACCCCGCCCCCAACCCCGCGCATCGATTGGCCCGGCGCGCAGGCGGGGACAATGGAGCCGACGTCGAAGCCGGCCGCCGGCGCGCCTATTGGCTCGGGCCGCCGTCAATCGCGGACGTCGCGCCTCGCCATTGGCCGGTGGTCCCCGTCAATCAGCAGGAGAGGGGCGGGGCTGGGGGGAAACTCCTCCTCCTCCGCCACCACCGACAACAACAACGGGCACTCACCGCCCCGCCCCCTCCCCCCGCGCATGCGCGCTGCCCCTGGAGCCGGCGCTCGAGCCCCGGCCTGGCCGCGGTTTTGAATCCCAACCGTCAACCGTCGCCGCTCGCGCCGCCGCCTCAGCCTCAGCCCCAATGGACAGCGGTCGGCGGGTCTCGTCCGCCTCGCGGTGCCCTCAGGCCGCCCGCTGGGGGGCAGCTCGGCCTCGCCGGTAAAGGCCCCCCCCACCACCTCTCTCTCGCTCTGTGACCGGTGAGTGGATCTGTCTGTCGGTGTCTGTCTGTGTCTGTCTGTGTTTATCTGTCTGTGTGTGTCTGTCTGTGTGTGTGTGTGTGTGTGTGTCCGTCTGTCTGTGTGTGTGTCTGTCCGTCTGTGTCTTGTCTGTCTGTGTCTGTGTTTATCTGTGTGTGTGTCTGTCTCTGTGTGTGTGTGTCTGTCTCTGTGTGTGTGTGTCTGTCTCTGTGTGTGTGTCTGTGTGTCTGTGTGTGTCTGTCTGTGTTTATCTGTGTCTGTGTTTATCTGTGTCTGTGTTTAGCTGTGTGTTTGTCTGTCTGATAGACATCTGTGTGTGTGTGAGAGTGTGTGTATGTGATCATAGTGTGTGTGTGTCTGTCTGTGTGTCTGTCTGTCTGTGTTTATCTGTGTGTGTGTCTGTCTGTCTGTGTTTATCTGTGTGTGAGTGTGTGTCTGTCTGTGTTTATCTGTGTGTGAGTGTGTGTCTGTCTGTGTTTATCTGTGTGTGAGTGTGTGTCTGTCTGTGTTTATCTGTGTGTGAGTGTGTGTCTGTCTGTGTGTGAGTGTGTGTCTGTCTGTCTGTGTTTATCTGTGTGTGAGTGTGTATCTGTCTGTGTTTATCTGTGTGTGAGTGTGTGTCTGGGGGGGGGACGTCCTCCCGCCCTGAAAGGCGCTACACCCACACACACACACACACCTGTATAACGTGTTGTCGAGTGTGAGTCTGTGAGTGAGTTGGAGTGAGTGACTTCTCTTTCCGAATAACGCAGCAGGACTTTTAACGACCACCTGAACAGGCAGAGGGGGCGGTTTAACGCCTCACCCGATGGACAGCGTCTCCGACATACCCTCCCTATCCCCCCACCCCCAGCGCCGTATCGTAGCGTCAGCTTACACCGTGCGATTCCAAGTCCCGACAACGGGGGCTTGAACCCACAACCTTCTGACTGAGTCGGGTTGACTCACAAAATAATAATAACAACAATAGTGATAGTAATGATGCGTTTTCCCCTGGGACACAACATCATCCCAACCTGCAGTGTTCGTTTCAGTTTCACTGTCTGGTCGGGACAGTTTTGTCGGTTTGCCACCTTCCAGACCCATCTCAAGACCCTCCCCGTCGACCGTGCTGTCCCTGCTTCCCCCCCCCCACCCGTACACGCTCCACCCTCCCCGGCCCCCAGCCTCGGGTCCCTAACTCTGTCTGTCCAGCGACTTGGGAAGTCCTCCCGACGTGAACGGCGCTTTTACAAGTGCAATTTTGTTGTTGTTGTTGGACAGCGCACGCGCTTCCCATTTCAGCGGGAATGACCCAACTCCTCGAGTGGAGGAGGTCGCTCTGGCGCCACAAACAACGGGCCAGACAGCCTCCCCTTCTGCGCTGCACGATTCATAACCCATCCCACTCCAAGTCTTTCAGTCTCTTGACCGAAAACACCGGGGACTTTTCCTGAAGCAGCCGTTAGAAAAGGGTCTGTGAACTGAATGGAAGCGGTTGGTACCGTTTTGCCATCGCAAACCGCAGCTCCATTAATAGAACAGTGATGATGACCCTGGGATCGGATGTTACATTCCCCCCCACACACAGCTTTGGACAAGGATTATAATTGAGCCTCGAATGCTCTTGGCGAGATGCCTCGCTCAACCATTTTGTTGACCTACATTGCAGTGTTTCGAATGTTTGCAGTCAGCGTGGAGTCATTTCTAGATTTCTAGCCAGTGATTTGGATAATGGTCCTGTAACAATGTATTTTTAGCATCCTGGTGCTGTAATTGCTCCAAGGCTGCTACTGTTATTTCTTCTTGTTATTTTAAAGCACGCCCGATTTGAAGGGCAAACAGATAATTGAACTATTTTCATAGAATGTTAACTTGCTCCTGGTATTTAATAATAATCCTTGCGTCTGATTCAGCGCCTCATCACATCGTCGAGATGTCTCGAAGCGCTTCACAGAATATTCTGCAAAGTATGTATTTTGTGGGCGAAACGCGGCAGCCAATTGTACACAAACATCTTGGAAGGGATTATTACCCCCAAGAAAGGAATTCGCCGATTGACTAACAGCCGGGGTTCTAATTACTGCGAAGTATACAGAGGTGTGTGGAGCGAGGAAACTTGCCTAAGATTTTGCCCCGCCCAGTATTCTTGGCGAGAAACTTTCAATCTAGATCTTCCACATTGCTCCTTACAGAAATCTTTGTTTGTCATAAAACAGAGTAAGGTCAAAAGGTACAATGCAAGGAGAGGATAAGGCTCAGCTGATGATGCGCTAATTTAGTGTGAATGTTCTAGGGGAAAAAATGGCCAATTTGGGTCAGGAGCTGTGTTGGGAGGTGGGGGGGGGGGGAGAGGGGGGCTGACAATGTGAACCCATCTCCCCAGTGTGAGAAGCTGGTGCCTTTTCCAGGGAACACGGAGGGGTGGATTTAAACAGTTCCGTTGAATTGTTCGTGAGTGAACAACCATTTCTTTCTTAACACAGAGAATCCTAGTCATGATAACTGACATTTTCCTACTTTCTAACAGGAAGCAGTCATAGAAATCAGCCCTCAAAGCTTTGCGACAGATTAATGGATCATTTTTAAAATGCACAGGAGTTTCAGCCTTATTCCACGGCCTTGATCCTTCCGACCTCTGTGTCCTGCTAACACCAAATCAACCTTTCCACTCCCTTCGCTCAGCAGGCTCCAGCCTACCCCAAGTGCCCCACCACCAAGTGCTCGCTCCATCATCAGCAGTCGCGCCTTCAGCATCTCTGCCCCCACCCTCTGGAACTCCATCCCACATTCCCTCCTGTCTCACTCCTTCCCTCGCCTCCTTCAGGGCACATCTTAAGATAATCATCTTCAACTACACCTTCCTTCCCTTACCCTCCCTTCCCTCCACCTTGTTGACTTCATTTCCCTACCTTCATCTCCTGAAGGCAGCACTTCATTCTGGAGCAGGCCATCCTTCATATGCAAGACATAAATGTTGCTGGCTCTTCAGACACAGTTCCTCAGACCCCCTGTCTTCAGATCCAGTTCCAGCAGAAATCACTGCAAAACAACCAGACTCGGACTGATTGCCATCTCCTCTTCCTTCAAGCCAGGGAACACTGAGACCATTTGCAGCACCCTCACTGCTAATCAGCAGAGAATAGACATTTAACCTGGGACCTTTGTGATCCATGTGACAACATTTCACACCACATGGTTCATTGACTCACTCAGCTATTGGTGCAATTTGGTGCTCTGTGGTTTGGCTGGAAGCTGGATGCCAATTACCTTAAGTAGAACAATCAGTGTGTAAATCAGCATATTTTCAAAAGCAATTTCTTTTATTGAAGAAAGACAGGATTTCAAAATGGAAACAGCAATCCTCAATTTGTGAACTCACTCGGCGATTCAATTCATTGCCTCAAAAAGTGCGTCTGTCTGGAAACATTGCAAGGCATGTGGGGCCTGGATCGTCGCAGGCAAATCCATCGCTTAACTTTCTTAATCAGCTCCCAACACACATTTAAGACGGCTTCCCAAAAAAAATCAGAACCATTCTTGGATTAAAATGCACGATTGTAGAAAATGCATGTTATTAACGTCTGCGTATTGCCTGCCCCTCAGGGAGCACTGAGCCCGCAGGTACATTACGACGAGGGACAAAAGTAATCCCAACGGGAGGTTGGTAAGTGTAGTGATGTTGATGATTTGCCCCGATGGGAGTGGAATGCATATCATGTGCGTTTCTGCACTAAGCACCATCAAGGCAGTTTTGCCTGCAGCTTCAAATCAACTCGGGGTCGGGAAAGATGTGCTCCTGAGCAGCAACTTTCACAATTTGTGAAGCAGTTATAACAATAATAATCTTCGCGTTTGATATAGCCCTTTATCACATCGTTGAGACGTCTCAAAGCACTTCGCAGTAAAGTATATTTTGTGGGGGATACGTGCGGCCAATTGCACACAGCAGTGTCCTCACAAACAGTCGTGGAGCGAGTGGCCAAATTATTTTTATTTATGTATTGAAGGATTATTACCACCAGAAAAGAGATCCGTCAATTGACTCACAACCGGGTTCCTACGTACTGTTAGGTGAACAGGCGTGTGGAGTAAGGAAATTGCCTAAGCTGTCACCCCACCCAGGAATCGAATCCGGTTCTTCTCGCTTGCGAGGCGAGTGCTGTAACCAATACGTGTCAACTTAATTAGCGGGAGACTTAGTTCAATTGATTCTGAAGCTACAAAACCACCCGAAAATCTGAGGCGTGTTTAGACAGTGGGAAACTAATCAAGCCATCGACAGTGACGTCTACAATGCTTAGTGTTCCATGCACAGGTTTGTGTACTGAGATATCAGGAGGCTGTCTGTGGATAAATTTAAGACTGTGTTGCTCACTTAAAAATCGGTAGATTTTTAACTACAAAGATATTTTCTCCATATCGCTCAAAATCCTTTCACTTAGCAAGAATCTTACCTATCTATATTTTAATCATACCTTTGGGATCTGCAATTTATCGGTCTTTGGATTGCAAGATTGTACTTGTTTTATTTGAGTAAAAAAAGGCGTCCCCATTAATTTATTGTTGTGTTTCGGACAGCAGGCTTGGTTTGCAGAAGACATGGCTTCCTTAGGCTGCGGTTTGCTCACGTCCGTTGCCAGATCAAGGTAAGGTGGAGGCACAGAGTAAACAAATTCCCGTTTTTAACTTTGCAAAGCACATCACAATCTCATTGAAATTCAGAGTCACAATTTATCATAATATTCTTTGCATTTGATATGGCGTCTTATGTCGTTGAGACGCCTCGAAGTACTTCACGGAATACACTGCAAAGTGGATTTATGAATTGACTGTATATTTTATGGGCAAAAAATTTATATGACTTATACAAAGTATGAGTTATGTGAAATGTGCATAAATGACTGGAAGTTCAATGGGACTTGGGCAGATGTACGATTTATACAGATCAGATTTATGCAAGTTTTAAGTATAATATTTTAAGCGTTGTTGCTGGGAAAGTTACCTCTTTGTAAAATTCTAACCTTTCCTTTCTTCCCCTCCCCTCCCACCCCTCCTGTTTGTCCTGTTTGTGGTTTTACAGAGGAGCTTACCTTCTCACTCCGAGCACCGTCTGCACATACTCTGCTTCGGTGCTGGTTCTGCACGTGCGGGACTTTTGTTCAAACCGAACATGTCTCAGGGAAAAAGAACTGGAGAGGATCCTTTCTCCTTCTCTGTGCTGCCTTCTACCTCACCTGCACACCTCTCTGGTCCCTGTACGCAAACTGCACAGGTCAAATCAGTGGCTGCAGGAAAAGAAAGCGGACGCAGACACTAGCAAGGCAGACGCAGGCTCCGATGACTTGGCTGCTGTGCCCAAGTCAGACGAAAAGGAGCTGGTGCAGAAAAGCTTGCCCCAAAAAGTTATCCAAGAACTGAAACATTACTACAATGGGTTCCGGTTGCTTTGGATCGACACCAAGGTGGCGGGTAGGATGGTCAACCGGTTACTGCATGGCCAGCAGCTGACCCGCAGGGAGAGGCGAAGGGTAGGTGTCCTTGCTGTTACACACACTCGAGGAATCAATATATTTGTGGTGTTGTGGACAGTGTGATATGCAGACTAGTACACCATAGGCAGTCAGGCCTTCAACCTCTCTGCCCCCCCGCCTTTGAATGCCATCCCACAGTCCTTCCACCTCGCTCCCTCCCTTGCCTCCTTCAAGGCACGATTCAAGATCCTCCTCTTTTGACCGCGCCTTGGGTCACCCTCCACCCCTCCTGATCCTAACCCCCAGCTCAGGTCCAAATCCATGACTGTCCAGGGCCTGGGGGACATCCTCCTGACGTGAAAGGCAATATACAAATGCAATGTTGATATTTTAATTACATCTCAAACTAAAAATTCTTCCTCTCCTTGCCGAGCATCACATGCAGAAGCACGGGCTGCTGTTCCTTGGTGCGGTCTTGGTTTTGTTTGCAAGTCGCTCTCTCACGTGTCCTCTTCCAGGTTTTGGTCAGGATTGAACCTCAGCCCACTTGGTGCAGCGAGAAAGCAGCACCTTGTGTTTGCCACCTCCATTCCAATTTTAATCGCAACTCGTACGTTTCACTGTGGAGTTTTAATCACAGCTGCGGTTTTCACACCTGCGTCTATGCTCTTTTGCAGTTCCTGCGGACATGCGCTGACCTCTTCCGCCTCGTTCCCTTTATGATCTTCATCATCGTGCCTTTCATGGAGTTCCTGCTGCCCTTCTTCTTAAAGCTTTTCCCGGAAATGTTGCCGTCAACGTTCGAGATACCGTCAAAAGAGGTGGGTGGGTGAGAGCAAGCTTTGAAGCAATCAGCTCCTATTGTGATTTCAGGACTGCGACGGAACACTTTCACCTCAATCATCATAATAATAGTAATAAACCTTGCATTTGATACAGCGCCTTATCACGTTTTCAAGATGTCTCAAAGCGCTTCACAGGATATACTGGGAAGTGAATTAACTATATTTTGTCGGCGAAATGCGGCAGCCAAGTTAAATCTTGGGAAACACAACTGAGTTGGAGACTTTGGACTAGAAGTTTGAGGGTTGGAATCACTTACTCTTTTGAGGACGATAAAGGGAATGTTTTTGATATTGAAATATTAGCTGCTTGCGATCACACTGATTATTTTGGCTTTGTTCCTGGTCCTCACCTTCAAAGCCCTCCATGGCCTTGCTCGTCGTGAAAGGCGCTATACAAATGTAATGTTGTTGTTGTTTGACTGGGACCAGGACTCCCATCATGACTAAAATGAAGCCCACCGCTTTCTCCCTCGACCCCCTCCCTACCTCCCAGCTCCACCTCCTTGCCCCCTCTATCAACAGACATCAACAACCTCTTCTTGTCCACTGGCACCATTCCCACCCTTAAAAAAAGTGTTGCGTGTGAATTGAAGAAGACCCGTTGTCGTTAATGGGTTGGATGGGTGCTCCCTTTTTATCTAACGGTTGTGGGTTATTTCTGTTCCAGAAAGAAAAGCAGAGGAAGACGCTGGCAGCCAAACTCGAGATTGCAAAATTTCTCCAGGATACGATCGCAGAAATGGCGAAGAGGAACAAGGCTGAGAGCGGCGATGTTACAAAACAATTTTCCACCTACGTTCAGCAGGTTTGTTCCGAGCAACGTGTTTGATATCCGCCGCACTGTCAGCCGGGCGAGCGATCTGCCCACACTCGCGGGGTCTTTCGACCTTACCCCCCCTCTCCCGCCCCACTCTTACACTGTTTGTGTGACTGCATTGTAGTGGTGAAAAAGCTGATGAGAGAGAATTATCACACACACACGCACACACACACAACCCTCCTTTCCTCACTGCCTTGCATTGTCACACATGACAAACAACATTTACACAGTGCCTTTCGCGTCAGGAGGACGTCCCAAGACCCAAGAATGTGGACTCGAGTTGGGGGGCTGTGCTCAGGTGGGGTGGAGGGAAGGGATTAGAATAAGTTTCGTATCTGCCCGGAACAGCCTTATCCCCCACATCAGTTTTGCTCAGCATTATTCAGCCATGCAGAGACAGAGGAAACAAATTAACCTCTCCACCAGATATTATGTATAGTTGAGCTCTTGGCAAGGCTTCAGGTCCCAAGTACAAGATAGACCGTATGTTTCTGATATACGAATGTTCAGACTCAGCAAGCTTAACCTTGGCACAAACTGTTATAGACTTTTAGTTTGCACTTTGCAATCTAACACTTGGCAAACATTGTCCGTGTTATCACCGCACAGCTGTCACAACGAGTGTTCTTATTTAAAGCAATTCAAGGGCAGATTTATTTTCTATGAGCTGGAATTTACTACACTGCACTGTGCACCCTGAAGCCTGCACTGTTCAATAGGTGTAACGATAATAATAATACTTGCATTTGATACAGCACCTTATTATGTCGTCGAGACGTCTCAAAGCGCTTCACAGGATACCCTGTAAAGTGAATTGCCCGTATTTTGTGGGCAAAAATATTAATACGTGTGAATTCACTCTGTGTATGAACTGAATGCACGCCGGGAATGAGATCTGAACTGGTTTCTGTCCGAACGGCACCGAGGCCGGTGTGAAGGTGTCAATGTAAAGTAACGGCTAACCTGCCTTTGTTCCCTGTCTGATGAAGATCCGTCGCTCCGGGGAGCAGCCGAGCACCCAGGACATTGTGCGCTTCTCCAAGCTGTTCGAAGACGAGTTGACACTCGAGCACCTGAACCGGCCTCAGCTCGTGGCTCTCTGCCGACTGCTGGAACTCCAGCCCCTCGGCACCAACAACCTGCTCCGTTTCCAACTCCTCATGGAACTCAGCTCCATCAAGGCAGATGATCAGGTACAGGCTTAGGATTAAGAAATCATTACCAGTCGTAGTATTGTTAGAATTATTGTTAAGTCTTATTTTAATGTACTGTCTTCAGTTTCTCTGTCCCCTGCCCTTTAGAACTCCATCCCACAGTCCCTCCGCCTCGCTCCCTCCTTTGCCTCCTTTAAGGCCTGTCTCAAAACCCTCCTCTTCGACCTTCGGCCACCCATCTACCTCTACCCTTCCTGCCCTCAACCCCTCCTGATAGCAACCACCAGCTCAGGTGCAAACCTCGACTGTCCAGCGCCTTGGAACGTCCTCCTGACGTGAAAGGCACTGTGTAAATACCACTTATTGTTGTTATTTGTTTGGAAAAGTGCCGAAGCTCCATGTCTCCTGGAGAAGGTGCTGCACACGTCTGGGCTGTTGTGAAGTCACACTCACCATACTGTTTCTGGGTTACAGATGATTGCCAAGGAGGGCACCGAGGGGCTGACCGTGACCGAGCTTCAGATAGCCTGCAGAGCGAGGGGCATGCGATCACTGGGAGTCACAGAGCAGCAGCTTCGGGAACAGCTCAATCAGGTCAGTCCTTCACTGAGACAGATGGACAGATACAGTGCAAATACCCTTGAGCACACTGTCCCGCTTGCACTTAGTCATTTGAAGATACAAGCAAAACACCTTGTTTAAACAGATCTAGAAAACTGTACCTTTCACCCGACCGTACAACAACAGCAGCAACAGCAACATTTAATTTACACAGCGCCTTTCACTTTGGGGGGATGTCCCAAGGTGCTGGACAGCCAAGAATTTGAAAGCTGGGGGTTGGGATCAGGAGTGGGCGAGGTGGAGGGACTGTGGGATGGAGTTCCACAAGGTGGGGGGTAAAAGGCTGAAGGCCCGACCCCTGATGGTGAGGCGAGCCGTGCAGGGGACCTGGAGCAGGTCGGAGCCCGCTGAGCAGACAGGTTAAATCGGCTTACCTCCCAGAGCAGGGTGGGGCTGGAACTGATAGCAAAAGGGCACTGAGCATCCGTCTTCCTGTAGCTCAGTAATGTGATCAGTTGGATTGTTATCATTGGGAAGATGGCATTGTGGCAACCCTTTGCAATGATGTGGTGTTGAAGTGGCCGATGATGACCTAATTTGAGGTCAGTGGGGAAGTCTCTAACAGCAGAACCATTGTCTCTCTCGCTAGTGGCTCGAGCTGCACCTGAAGGAGAATGTGCCTCCATCACTCCTCCTACTCTCTCGTGCGATGTATCTGACTGAACTCAAGCCAAAACCTATCATGGAGATCATGCCAAAAATTGAGGTGAGTTTCCCCCCACCCAAACTTAAATTAAAAAAATCTTAGAACTTCTTGTTTTTTTTTCTCGTCTTAAAAGGTTGATTGAAAACGTACTTTTGAGGGTTTTTGTCGCAAAACTAAACCTACGATGCAGCCTTTCTCCTGGTTTTATTGCCCACACGTGCAAACTAACCACCTGCTGCCCACTTCTCTTCTCTTTCTAGTTGGGTATCACCAGTTCTCCTACGCTAGAGAATCCAGAAGTCAAAGAGAAACGGAAACCAGACATTCCTGACGCTCTCCAGGACTTGGCCCCAACATTAAAAGGCATCAAGGTGCAACTGTCACACACACACACTCATACACTCGCACACATGAGTCAGCCTTCAAAACTCAGCTCCAGATTTAAAATGGTTGAAAGGGAATCAGTTGAGTGTGCAACACTGTACGGATCAAATTGAGGAGCTTTGTAGGAAGTTAGACACACGATCTTAAGGCCCTCACCACCACCTCTAAATACCTCCCCCACCATTTCCTACCACAATCCTCTGCCTCACGCAGTTGTGCTGCCACAGTGGGTGTTTTTCCATTGTTGTCCGAGCTTTCAGACCCACTTCTACATTTTTCTCAGTGAAATAACTGAAGTGAAGTTGAATTGTTTGGCACTTGGGTGCAGAGGGCTAGGTCTTGTGGTTGCCCACTCAATAAGGGAAGGGGGTGTGGGTAGCTTTAGCAAAACTGTTACTGCACTGTATTGAATGGTTCAAGCTAACTTTGCACCTCATCGCTGTCCCAGGGGGAAGAAATAACAGAAAAGGCGTCCGAGCCATTGTCAAAGAAACTTCCGCCAATTGTACCGGGCAGCACGGTAAGTCCTCGCCCGACATTCTCTCCTTTTTCCAGCAGTGTGGCACCTAGATATCATCCAGGAGCATCCACCTCACTGCTTCACATCCTGCTTCCTCTCTCTCCAGCTCAAGCTGACACTCCAGACACATTGTCACCTGGGTATCCACCGGTTTCAATTAGCCACCAGGTGACAGCCCACATGGGGCAGGTTATCTCGTCCCTGGAAAAGGTTGGCACGGGGCTTCGGATGCCAGCACTCTGTGCCATGAAATGGTTGCTTGCTGTGTCCCTCGTCCCCCCAATACAAACACCGGCTAACACCGATGATGGCTTTGAAATGCCAGAAGTTGTGCCACAATAATAGTCCTTGCATTTGATATAGCGCCTCATCACGCTGTTGAGACGTCTCAAAGCGCTTCACAAGATACCCTGTAAAGTGGAGTGACTGTATTTTGTGCGCTGAGTGCGGTGGCGAGCGGAGGAGTTGGGTAAGAGAAGGTCGGAGAGATGAGAAGATGCGGGGTGGGGGTGACTGGGTCATGAAATTGATTTGCTGGGAGGGAGCCTGGCAACAGTGAAAGCAAAACTCTTATTGCGTTGGCTACAGTGAATGGTGAATGCTAACTTTTCACTTCATTCCTGTCCCAGGTGGAAGAGGTAGCAGAAAAGGCATCAGAGGCATTACCAAAGAAACCTCCTCCGCCTCCGACTGCACCAGGCAGTACTGTAAGGTGTTGCACAAAATGATACGTGAGCACTGGGTTGAAGTGGGAGGCACAACACGGATATATCTGAGTTAATGTGCAGTATTCCTGAACTGTTAATCTCAACCTGTCAAGTAGAGTGGTTAGCACGCTCGCCTCGCAAGAGAGAGGACTCGGGTTCGATTCCCGGGCGGGACAAAGCCTTAGGAGGTTCCTTACTCCACACACACGCCTGTTTACCGAGCAGTAAGTAGGACCCCGGTTGTTAGCCGATTGGCAGATCGCTTTCCGGGAGTAATAATCCCTCCCCCCCAAAAATTTAGTGACTCAATCCACGACTGTCAGCAATTGGCTGCTACGTTTCGCCTACAAAGTACAGTCAATTAACTGGAGTATATCCTGTGAAGCGCTTTGAGATAAGGGGCTATATCAAGTGCAAGGATTGTTATTATATATTATAGCTAAAGAGAAGGGACACTGCCTTTTGCCCCCAGCCAGCCCCCACTTACTGTGGTTTGTGTCGCGTTTGTACCTAGGTTGGTCTTCCTAAACCCGAAAACCAATCCAAGGCCAGTGCAAACGGAACGTGAGAGGTGCTGCGAGCCAACAGTGCGAAGCAGCCCCTCACCTCTGAGACTCACCACAGTGGCTGCTTCCACGTATCAGACAGCATTCAGGACTGGCCCACGTGGAGCTCGCTGTCCCGTCGCCAGGCTGGTGCTTCCCTCCCTCTCTCATTGAACCTCGGGGAGCTCCTCGTGCCCAGGATAGACCCTGTGAAAGGCCCCGACTGCACTTGAAAACGATCACCGGGAAGTCAAGCAGCCAGGAACAGTAAGCCATCGGTAAGCCTCCGCCGTGTGTCTCACCCGCCACGAGACGGTGAGGTGGGAATCGAAAGAGGCAAAAATCACCCCATCGCACAGCTCCGTCTGAGTGGATTGTTGCTGCCTGCGCAGAGTTCACAACACGTTCTGTGGCTATGTTTATCGGAAATGTGGCGTTCATTCACAGTGTATGGCGCTGGCTAAGAAAGATAAACCCACACTCCAAGCCAGGCTAGTCCGTGCTCCTCTGAATTGAACTCCTGGGGGCGGGGGCGGTGTGGAGACACAGTTAGCCAGACTCCAGACACACGACACTAACTCTTAACTCCAATCATACTCTCCACTCAAACCAGGCCAGAACTTGGTTCATTGCTCTCGAGCCAGAAACTCCGAACACACCTGTCCCGCAGTCTCCTCCAACAGAAAGCCTGGGGAGTCTGACTTGCTGGTCTGTCTGTCTGTGCGTCTCTCACCAGGCAGAGCAGCAGAATCTCGCTTCACTCCCATCCAGAGGTGACAAACGGGGAGGGAGTCACAAAGAGTGGGGGAGAGAGAGGAGGGGACAGGAGAATGTCCTTTCTGGATGTAATGTTTTGCTAAATTTGGTGGATTTCCCCCTTTGCACTTGTAAAGAATCTTACCCCACATTTCTAATCTAATATGTCGTTGATATTATGCATCATTCGGAAACGGTTTACAGTGGGTTATAAGCATACAGACTGGGACATATTTGCTAAATACTGAACAGAGAAGAACAGCGCTCAGTCCACACTCCTGAATCTGCCACATGGGGTATAGGGGATGCCCCATAAAAGGGGGAATCACCTCCCACTCCAGACTGCCTTAAACCTTTAGCCCCCCCCCCCCCCCCACCAAAGACCTGCAAGGAGTGGACATATTCCATTCAGATTCCCCGATCAGCAAGTTACGTTCCCAATGAGGTTCACAAAGCACGTCCCCTTTTTGTCATCGCACCAATTCACATCCAACTGCCACGTCTTGAAAGTCCTGCCCTGCAAGATTGACCTCAGCCCAGCCTTTAAGCTGCTGGCGAGGGAGGGAGGGAGGGAGGGAACGCCAGAGAGAGAGAGACACAGACAGGGACAGCATTCCACATTACTGTCCCAGAGACAGCTGATCGGAATACACGTGGTGCCAAACAAGTCAAACAAGCAATGCACGACTTTAATAATGTTTCAGGCCGCCAGGGGTCAGGCTTTGGCCGTGAATTGCTGCTGCACGGCTTTCTGGCTGCGATAACAATATTGTGGACGTTGTAAATTTTACAATTTCTTAAAAAAAATAATTGATTAATATCCGTCATTGCCACTAAAAACAAGGTACTGGCCATTTCCCCCCCCCCACCCCCCCCCCACCCTGACGGGTTTCCATTTATGAACTACTGTACTGTGTAAAAAGAATCAATCTCGGTTTTGCTGTACGTTTAAAAACTGTCCTGCTCTGCCCTGAAAGTCTGCCTTGTGTGACTTGCTTATTGTAGATGAGCAAAAACCTGATCAGTCCAAAGGGATAAACAACAACAACAACTTCAACTTGCATTTACACAGCGCACCCCCCCCCCCTCCCCTCACACGGGGTAGCGTCCCAGAGCGCTTAACAGTGGCCGAGCAAGGTTGCTTGCTGTGAAATCAACAAGGGAATTTGAAAGGTTTTATTCTGATATGCAACACGAGATTCAGACACTTGTTCCCTCATTCTATGGACCGCAGATAAATGCGCAGATTAAAAAAAAAAAGATTCTAAGTGAATTCTGAACATCCTTTTGAAAGTGTTAATCGTTTCTGATCGGTTGATGCAGCACATTGCGAAGGCGTCACGTCACAGGTGCTATTCAACTGCACTTGCAATCGCACACCTCACAGGAGCAGAGGAAACTCGAGGGTAAAAAGATATAATTAAGCTTCACTTGTCTGCAGTTTCTGAGCAAAAATCAGGACTTAATTCTCACAAACTTCAAACAGAGGGGAATTGACAGCTGGAAACATGCGACGGTCTCACCTGTTTTGTTGTAAGCCCAGGTCCAAAGGCAACCTCAGTCCATCCCAGCAGCTGAACCAACAGTGTGTACAGCCAATGTCCACACCCAGCACAATCCACCTCATTTATTGTCTTTTCTTCCACGTTGATAGTGGCAGCCAATCACCCCAAGAATAATTGTTCTTCATCGCTTCAGCAAGTCGTCAAATCGCTGCCATCATTATTTTTTCTCCATCACTACTATAATAAACAATAATAATCCTTGCATTTGATATAGCACCTTATACGCACATTTACTAACTCATTTGCTGAAGTAGGAACAGGTTCGCTAGGGAGACGGT